AAAAGGCACGAGAGACTAGTGCACACGCCGGCCATAAACCTGTCTTAAACCCGCCCGGTCGTCCCCATGTACCGTCCGTACCGTCCGTACAGTACATACCCGCAGGGGCCTCGTACGAGCAGCGCCAGCGCGTGCCTGCTTGCTGACCTCGCCCGCCTGCTCGCAGCGGCGGCTGCCGGCTGCACGTATGTACGCTTGTATGCACGTATGTATGCATGCGCGCCGTGACGCCAGCCTGCCTCGAGTCGATTTGTCTACGCCTCGAGGGCGCGGCCGAGGCTTGCTGCTCCGATTGGCGGGCGGGTGGGTTGTGTGCTGTGTGGATTTATGGCGCGGAGGTGCTGGGATCGCGGCGAGGGCAGTTGGGTACGGAGGTAGATAGGTAGGTACTGTAGGAGTGTGTAGGCAGACAGGTAGGCAGGCAGGTAGGCAGATAGGTCTCCAGCCAGCTCGCCAGCCAGACAGATATCAGACAACTAGCCAGCCAGCCAGCCAGCCAGCCAGCCGGGATAAGCAACGCTCAGCTCACTCCCACCACCACCCACACCCATCCCATCATCCCATCAACACTCACCCACCCACCAGCCCAGCCCAGCCCAGCCCAGCCGCGCAGCCGCACCCGCAGGCCACGCCCGCCCCTCCCTCTTCCCCAGTCCTCTCATCTCGCCTCGCCTCTCATACAATCCCATACCCACACGCATACCCTGCCAGCGGGCTGGCGGACCCACTCCCCCACCCAGGGACCCGGCACCGGCACCGGGACCCTGGCCCGGAGATGCTTAGCGCGTGGGGCATACACACACACCCCCCTACCCTAGGCAGGAGGCGTGGGGCACGAGTCACGCGGGCTGGCGCGGCAGGGGCAGCAGAGACAGAGCAGACAGCCTACACAGCGGCCGCTAGTTATTGGTGAGGTCTTTGTCGAAGCTTATGTATGTGCTGCTGCTGTGTCGTTTTTTGCGGAAGCTTGATTGCGGTTGTGCGTGGTGGCTGAGGCTTGGTTGTTGGTGGTGTTGAGCCGTTGCCGTTGCCGTTGCCGTTGTTGCTAGGTGGTGGAGCTTGTAAAGAACGACGGCCGGGGTGGGGTGTCTGTTTGACCCACCCACTCTCTTCCTCGCTCCGATCATTGCGTATCGTGCCGCAGCGTGCTGCAGCGAGGCGAGCCGCGCCGCCAGGCCGTCAAGTTGTTAACTTCACGTCAGTTCGGTTCGGGTTGGGTTGGTTCTCGACTGCCGTAGGCAATTAGGTGGGTAAGTCCCGCTGTGTATGAGTATACGAGAAGTGGGCATCTGAAGAAAAAGAACAAACGAGCTAGCTGCGCCGTAGGAGTAGACGGACGGCCTCTCTGACCCCCACAAAGCAAAGCAAAGAAAAGAAAAGAAAAGCAAAACAAACCTAGCGAGGCGAAACGAAGCCCAGCAAAGCGCAGCGCAGTGCCGTGCATGAAGGGTTGGAAGAACCGCCCCTCCCTCTCCCCTCTCCCTCCTCCTCCTCCTCCGTCCAGAACTTTCTATTCCACTTCCCACTCCTGCAACCCACACGCACTCAAGCATACGCGCACGCGCGCGAAAATAGCCCTCCCTCTCCCTCTTCCTCTCATCCATCCAGCGAGCCGCAACCCCCCAAGCGCACACGTGCGCCCGCTCTACGTCCGGATTGGCCAACCAGCGAGCCAGCGAGTGAGCGTGGCCTGCATCCGCGACGCTTCCATGCGTCCTGGCATGCGGCGGCATCCAGCAAATCCACCGCGGCAGAAAGGCAAACCGGACGTGCGCGTGCGCGTGTGTCGTGTGTCGTGTGTGTTGGTAGTGCGGTTCCGCCACCGCGGCACGGCTGCCAGGCAGGCAGGCAGGCAGGCAGGCAGACGGGCGGATGGGTGCGCGGGCCTGGTAACGTGGCGCCTGGCCTGCCCTGTCCTGCCCTGCTCGTGCTCGTGCTACTACGTAGGTGGGTAGGTACTGTAGGTAGGGTAAGTAAGTATTCCAGGCAGGCTGTCGGGACCGGGTGAAGGGGTGGCGGGCCTACACACGCACGCCCTGGCGCCCGGGGTGTGTGTGTGGGATGGAGATCGCGTGGCTTGTTGGGCGAGTGCGAGTGCGGGGAAGAGTTTCTTGCCACGCCTGACTTGCCCTGCGGTGTGGAGGGCGGGAGGGCGGGATGGGATGTCAGTGGGTGGAAGGGCGGGGCTGGATACCCGGGGAAGGAGAAGCCGGAGCCGGGGCCGGAGAGGAGTGACGGTGCGAGGCGGCGCTACTGTACGGTGTATGGTTTGTTGGAGAGGGGAGTGGATGCGAGAGCGAGAGAGAAAGAGAGAGAAAGCGATGCTGCTGCTGCTACTGCTACTCGTACGAGCAGTTGCAGATGCGATAGATGGGCTGATGTGCGTGAGATGTGGCTTGAAGCTTGACGGGACTGTTGCTAGGAAGTGAGGGCTTGGGCTTTCTTGTGTCGTTGACGTCGAGAGATAGGCGGTTGCTGTGTTGCTGCGGCTGCGTTACTAGCCCGTGTTTCATGTCTTCCTGCCCGACAGGCCGGGGGTGGTTGCTGTGCTGCCCTGCCTGGCTGTTGCACTGCGTGGCACTATGGTATATCGTTCGGCAGACGTGCTCGGAGAGTTTGATGGTAGATTGTCATGCGTTAGTGCTTACGCTGGTGGGTTTCTTGTTTGTGATGGTATGGATGGCGTTGATGGACTGGGTTTTCCATTGTAGTTGAGGCGGGGAAGAGGGGAAGAGGACGAGGGGTTTACGGTAGAGGTGGACGTGAAGATGAGACATCGGAAGAACTTGAAGACTGGTGAGTAAGAATGATAACAGACTAGAAAGAAAAGTGAATCTAAAAGGGAACTACTTAAAAAAACAGATGCAGGAAACAGACGAGAAAATCAAAACACGGTTGGATGTACAACAGGAGGAATAAGAAAAGCCAAAGAAAGAATAACAAAATCTTTAATCCATTGCAAAATGTAAAGCACTCCTATAGATAAAAATTAATCGTCACTGAACTCACTTTAAAAACAAAGAACTCCTCGAGCTGGCGATAATTAAATTTCACCAACACAATATCCTCCATTCATTGTATTATGATTCATTGATTTCCGGCGACCACAAATCAACTTCCCAGGCAGCAACCTACTACCGCAGTGCACAAAACACCATCTCCATACCAAAGATTCTCATCCAGCAGAGTGTCGCCCAACTACAATATAAATACCACATATCCAGAACCCAACCCGAACATCCTCCCCAGTCTCAAACAACAGTGACTCCCCTAGCCACACCAACCCAACCCAACTCAACACCAATCAATTTCCACCCACGGGCCTATAACCACCAACAATAAGCCACCAAAACTCCCTCCTCCTATTCCCCTTACCAACTAACCCCTCAACCACCACGCAGCCAACACCCTACCCCCTCCCTCCCCCCCACCGAGTCTGACGCTAAACCCGCAAACCAGTCCGCACACGACGCCTCCCCCCACCAGCGACCAAAAACAACCTCACCTACATAATTTATAAATATACTATATACGCACCCCCATCCGCGCACACAGACCCAGATCGCCCGCCCCTCCCCCCACCCGCGCGCTACGATCAGTGCAGCAGCACGTCTCCCGCCACTCGCAATCAAGCGCAATGTCTTCGCGCGCAGGCGCCCCCATCCCCTCTCCACGCTAAAAACCAAAACAACCATCACGACCGAAAAAAAGAAAAAAGTTGCTGCAACAAAGCGTATTAAGTGTTGGTAGTAGTAGTAGTAGTAGTAGTAGTAGTAGTAGTAGATAGTTAAGTGCCTTGGTGCCTTAGATACACATGCTTAACCCCCGTCCCCCGTTCCGTTCCGTTCAATCAATCAAATCCATCCATCCCCCATAACTACCTATCTGACATGGCTCTCGTGCATGTCGACCTCGCTCACGGCGCATTCGTCCGTCGTTCGTTCCAAATCCCCCATATTTGCGTGAATCGCGCGCGCAACGACAACAACATGGTCTGCCTAACCGCAACTGACTGACTGACTGACTGATGCTTACCATGTTTTTCTACAAAAAACGAAAACCTGCAGCTGCAGCAGCTGCAGTAATAGCAGCGACAGCGACAGCGACAGCGACAGCGACAGCAGCAGCAGTGGCAGCAGTCCCGACGGAAAACGTAGAAGAAGAGTAGTCCTGATCACCACATAGCGCGCACACACACACGCGCACACACACGCGCACACACGCCCCCCTCTCTGCCCTTGACTCAACCCCCCTCTCCCTCTCCTCCCCCCCCTCTGCTTCGATCCACCGCCAGCAGCCCTGTGCGCGCAGTTATCCCCTCAAATCGTCCGTCCCCATCACCGGTCCTTACCGTAACGAAGCAAGCCTGTGCAATCTCGCCCATCCGCCATCCTCGTCACTGCTCCGCCTGCCCAGCACCTCGATCTTCTCCATCATTCCCGGAACATGGGAATCGGACTGATAAAAAAAGAAACTCAAAACTCAGATATGATTGCAAAGGCAGAAAAATGTCGCTCCCGCACGCCGCAGATAACCAAGCCAAAAAAAGGGGGGGTTAAGGTGTAAAGCATAAAAGTGTCAGACTAAAAGAGTAATCGCTCTTTGTACACGGACGCGCGCTTTTGACGCAGGATACTAACCGACGAAGAGCAGTAGTAGTAAAAAGTGAGAAAAAGTAGGGGAAAGCCCCGTCCAGATCTGTGAGCGCGGCGAGATCACTACGACCGGGCGCTGTGGATCTTGAGCGAAGATCATCCAGGTTGCATATTAAGATTTCGCTTGGACGGGCTGATAAGGTGGTTCGAATTTCGAATCTGAGAAGCAACGGTTCAGGAAGTAGAAGTGGGAGAAGAAGAGGAAGACAGCATGCTGGTATCAAGTGCCGGAACACGCATCGGACGCCAGTAGCAAAGGTCGACGACCATCCACCAGGGAACGGGCGCTTCAACCAAAGTGCTGTGGCGAGATTTGCGGTGGCGCTGTCGGGGTTTGCTTCGAAAGGGGCGGACTCTGAGGTCGGCTCCAGAAGTCGAGCGATGCAATCGTGTCTTCGCCCATTTCGTCTTCGTACGCGTACAGAATCTGGTTGCACCTTGTAAGCTCGAAGTCTTTTGACTGTACGGCAGCTAGCAACTCACCTCTCTCGTGGAAGAATGCAGCATCCTGATGTTCTTTGCAGTGAGAATGTGCACCAGCATTCCCGTCTCCATGTGCCTGATTTCGATGAAACTGGGCTCGAAGGCGAGGATGTAAGGATTGAAGATGGCAAAGGCTTGTGGAGTGCCTTCCCATGTAATCTTCCAATCCGGACGAGCGCGCCAGCCATTCCGGTTGACGAAGAAGGAAAAGTCGGTGTAACACAGCAAGAACTCGGATGATAGACGCTCGATGTGGATCGGCTTGATGTTTTCGCGACGCGCAACGAAGTCGAGAGAAGTGTCGGCCTGGTCGAGCAGAGATTGCGTCTCGAGCGTCTCGAGCGAAACGACTTCGAAACCCTTGGCGCAACCAACGCAGAGCTTCGACCTGAGGAAGTGGATCGAGGTTGATTCCGTGGGGATGTAGAATTCCTAGGTTTGTCAATACAATCACAGGCCTGCTGTAAGATAAACGCACCTTGTAAGGCTTGAGCACATCCTGCCCACCAGCAAGCATCCTCGAGAATCCAGACTTCTTCGACTTCCTGCCCATGTTTTCCATTGGCTCGTAGACCTTGATCGTAGTAGAGAGCGCCGAGGTCTTGACACAGCATACAAGATGCTGGCCGACGCATACACCAGCCTTGAAGAAATTGGCGTGGCAAATCTTCCTTCCCCTCTTCGACACTGCGCCCTGGGTTTCGTCGGTGTCCAATGCGTCGAGCGGGTACGAGTACATGGTCTTGTCGGACAGGACCAAGAGAATCTGGTGCTGCTCCAGCACGTCAATTTGTGTGACCGCCTTGCAGTCAAGCACACGCTTGGGCTTCATAGAAGCATCCTTCGGCCTACGGTCAGCAACGTATACACCAAAGTCAGTGCCGTAAGCCAATTTGCGGCCACCATCTGCGTCTGAATCAGTGTTATTCTCACAAGAAAACAAAGGAAAGGATACGAACCAAGCGGCACACAGCAATTGACCCTGATGGACTGGTTGAAGAATCCTTCGCAAACAATCTCCTTGGTGAAGATGTTACTCCGGTCTCTCAGGTTCTTTTGCTGCTCTTGAATGTGTTTCATCCATTTCTCCTGCGAGATTTGCGTCGTGGCGTACAGCGTCAATTCGTAACCTCCTTTACCAAGGTGCTTGAAAGTGATCGGGTAGCCTTGCGTCTTGGAGTTGTCGGATTTGGGTGCTGTTGGAGCATTTTTGTTAGTGAGGGCTAAATTTGGAGAAGGCCGTTTGGCTATACCCTGCTTATTATTGGTAGGGAACAGCTCGTCCATTTGCGTGATGACCAGCAATTCCAGAGGGATAGGTTTCCTGTAAACCTTCATCTCCTCTTTCTTGTTCACGGTTTTGACGCGGACGAGCAGGACGGCGTGATCGAACAGGTAGGCTTGAATATCCGTGTTGCTGTCAGTCGGAGTCTTCTTCAGAGCTCCCTTGAAGACGAGCTGGCGGTTCTCTTCAGTAAGCTTCAGGTCGACGTATTCGCCAGGTCGGAACTTGAGATCCCTGTTTAGCTGCACCAAGTTGAAATGGTTCTCTGCCTTTCCGGATTCAACGTTGACCTTCGAAAGGAATTCGCGGATCAGTTCCACCGCCTTCGGTATATCCTTGCGATCCGGGTTTTCATCGGCGGTGTACTTGAGCACGTTCTCCAAAAGCAGCGGGTATCTGGCCAATCTCGTCGTCGGCTTCGTAAGGTAACCGTTGAGTTCCAGCTTCCTCGATTCTTTCATTCGTTCCACTTCGTCCACGAATTTCGCGAATGCAGGGTTTGTCTTCTTCTCATGTTCGAACTCGTACTTGCCAAAGAGCTGGTTGGCACCATACTTGATGAAAGGACCAAAGTGAGGCACGTATTCCAGGAAGATATCGCCGACGTTTTTGACCACTGGCTCCACTTGCTGTCTTCGGGTCAGTGACTCTGCCATTTTGGCGTTGACCTTGTAGACTTCTTGGCAGTTTGAGAAGACGGTGCGAATGAATTTTTCGCGGCGATGCTCGGGGATGGGCGACGTCTGGGGGTTGCGCAACGGCTTCATCCAGAAGTCCCGGAGATACTCAAGGTCCTTGACGAAGTCGCGCTCCGTGTACATCAGTTCGGAAAGGACTTCCTGGCGCTTCTTCTCCTTGTCAGAGATGCTGTCAGCCACCTCCTTGGAGACAGTCATGATCCAGAGCTTCTTCTCATCATTGTCATCGTCATCGTGAAGACTAGACTTGGACTCCTCCCTCTTCAACCCGGGCTGGGGCTTCATGTTCAGCCGAGCCTGCTGTTCCAACCGGCGCGGGCAAGCAATCGAGTAACAGAGTTTGTCTCTCGTGCACGTTGGGGAATAGCATTCTGTCAAAAGCGTGAAGACACCGTTCACCTCGGTGGAATCCTCCAGCATGGTCTCCCGGAACTGATACACCTCGGCTGGCGAATCTCGTAATCTGTGAGCGTAAGTAACTTCATGGAAGAACTTTTGCGCATCAAGAGACCGGCCCAGAAGAAGCGCAAGGTTTCGGTCCGAGGTCCTGATGATGTAGGCGATGAGCTCCACAGCTTCCGCACCCGTGAAAGCACTGTTGTATACCAGCCCGTCCTTTTCCTTTTCGCCCAAAATAATCCGCGCCCTGAAGGCCTCCGAAACCCGGGACAGCAGCGCCGGGTAGACCATAGGACGCTTTTCTTGAGCAACCATCTGCGGATGCTGCGAGGAGCTCGATTTCGAGGGCCGCAAAGTTGTCTCGGTCAGGTCAGACGGCGCAATCGTTGAAGCCATGGACATGGTTCTCTGCGTGCTGAAGCTGCCTTGGCTGGTGGTCCTCGTCTTTACGCCAGGGCTCGGCGTGATATGAGGGGCTCCGTGACCGGGCGACGCTTGGTCGTGGGGCGCCATTGGCATCGGTCCTCCATTCGTGTCACCTGATTCACGCCTACGGTTCGGTATGACGCGCCCGCTCATAGTCTGAGCATATTCGTTGTCTCGGGCAAAAGATGTCAAAGACATGGTCCGCTCATCCGGTCTCTCCGGGACCACCCTTCCTTGTGCGGTTGTCCTCGCCATGTGGTTCGTGTATGGTTGTTGCCGGAAGGCGTGTGCCGGATTCACGTGGTGCGACCCAGGGGGAGTGGGGTACATCTGAGGGCGGGGAGCAGCGGCGAGGGACTGAGAACGGTATGGGTCCGATGCCAAAGCCGGACCCGGGGCGCCACCAGGAAACCTGTTGGGAATCGGCTTGTTGCCGTACATGGGGCCTGGCGGCATCCCTCTGGGATCCATGCGTTGCGGCATGTTGTAGGGCCGGCGATCAGGACGGAGGGGCTGAGGCAGATACTGGGCCGGCGGCTGGCGCTGTCCGGGGGGCGGCGAAGGGTCGCCTGGCCTTGGGGGAGGGTAATATCCATTTGGGGCGGAACCGTAACCATTCATGCCCGGCCGCATCGGGGGTGCCCGTTGCATCATGTCAGAAACCTGACCCGACATGGTTGCAGCGCGGTCGGGCATGCGCTGGAATGTCTGGGTAGTCATAGTTTGAGAGCGCCCCGGCGGGGGCGCGGCTCCAAAGATACTGGAGAAGGCCGTGTCCCGCTGCTGGTCGCTGGCATGGCCGTAAGGGCGACCATAATCCCTGCCCTGGTGACTGCCGTAGTCCGCCATGTGATTTGTCCGCTCCGGCCGTGTGCGGCGAGCAGCCTCGCAGCTACAACCTCAATGCTTGAAGGAGTGTATGAAGGTATGCTTGGTAGGGAGGGATGTGCGGTCGCAGGGGTGTGCAAAGGGCCGCGGCGACTGCGACGTCCCAGCTGCGAGAGCGCGAGCGCGACAAGAGAGTGTTGAAGAGGTTGAAGGGAGAGGGGAGAGGCGGGCGCAGCAAGACGGGGGCGGTCCGGGGCGCTGGAGCAGCTCGGGGGTTGAGGTAGGAGGTCGGAGTTGAGTTGGTCCCTGGGAGCTGCCGGCAGAGCGGTAATCGGCTGGGGTTATTATCTGTCGTTTTAGAGATTGGGGGGCGACCTGGCAGGGGCAAGCCGGGCGACGACTGGCAACGGCGGAGTCGACAATGACAGGTGAGGAATCAGAGCAGCCCGCAGGTCCGACGTGGGATGAGGACAAAGCAGAGTGAGCGGCGTGCCGAAGTCAAAGCCTGCGGACGGTGTCTGCGACGAGGTCCCTCCAAGGGCTTGCGGGCTGCCCGTACAGGGAAGGCTTGGCGCCAAGGGACGTGTGCCTCAGGCGTCTGGGGGTGAGGTGATGCATCATACATTTGGAGTCGCACGCAGCACGTTCTATCAGCTAGCCACAGGATGGAATACAAGCCAGCACGCCTGGCCGCGGGTGCGGTGATGGCGGGGGACGAGCCTCGCAGGGGAAATGATCCTCCCAGCGCACCATAGCCCCGGACTGAGGCGTCCACTGCGCACTTGCAATCGCATTTGCTTATGCTCACTGCGCAGCAGAGAAAACAAAGATACGGGCTTGGCAATCGGGAGATCATCGTTGGGACTCCATGCGGGTTCCAACAGCACTCGGGATGGTTGAGTTGCCAGCTCTTCCGCATGCCACGGGAGAAGCCTTGTTGGTGCACTTGTTTAAGGACGACCTTCATCGCCCGGGCAATAGACTAACGGCCAGCCTGCCTAACCCCATGGAAAATTTCAAGACTTTGCCCATGTGCAAAAGCAATTGGATGTGACTCAACGCCCCCTTCGAGTCGGAACGGGCAACGGATGTCAATTGCGCTAGGGCGGGTGCGGATGCACCTCGAGTCATCGAGTAATTGCGTAAAGAACAGTGCCTTCTCGGCATGCGCCGAGGGCGTCTCGCGTGTCGAGGTCGAGGACGGACTCGAGGTGGTGGGCTCCATTCCCAGATGACGATCCAGGCGGCCCACGGAGTTTAATCGCTCCATCACCGACTCCGCCAAGACTTCCCTGTCACGGACACCAGCGCAGCTATCCTCGCCAACACCGCACCTTGAAGCGGCCCCATCGCCTGCATCGCCATTGCCTCGACGAACCCTTGACGCTTCTACGAATACCGTCTCGACCGCCGACTTTTCACGACTCGACACCATGTCGGAATCCGAGCTCTCGCCCAAGTTCGCGCCGTTCTTCGGCATGGTAAGTTGCGCTCTGATCGCCATCACGTAGTTATGGCATCGGCTAACATGTTGCAGGCTGGTATCGCGTTTGCTGTAAGTCGCCACAATACCCGTTCAAACCAGCTCACGACGTTTCTGACCCCCTCGACCAGATGATCTTCGGATGTACGTTACGCCATGTCGACTTCAATCCTCCCCAACACGTCACCACACCCAACCTGTTGGAGCCCGATTTCGCTACAATTACGCACAATTCTTTGTCCGGCTAGGGGCTCGAATTCGGCTGCCTTGGCTTGGCCAAAGAGTTATCCATATCCACATATTGCAGAGCGAGAACATGTGGTGATAGAGGCTGATGGTGGCTACAGGCATAGGAGCCGCATATGGCACCGCAAAGTCAGGCATCGGTATCTCCGGTGTTGGAACCTTCAGGCCTGACCTCATCATGAAGGCATGTTCTAAAGATCACCTCGGTGCAATTCTCCGACTTACATTATACAGTCGCTCATTCCGGTCGTCATGTCCGGTATCATTGCTGTCTATGCCCTCGTCATTGCAGTGCTCATTGCCGGAGACATGGGCCCGCCGCCGGGGCAGAACTACAGCCTGTTTAGCGGCTTCATGCACCTTGCGTGTGGCTTGTCGGTGGGCCTGACTGGATGTGCTGCAGGCTACGCGATCGGCAAGGTTGGAGATATGGTGCGTGCATCGTCAGGACATGCGCAAAGGTGTGATACTAAGTCTCGTAGGGTGTGCGATCGTACATGCAGCAATCGCGTATCTTTGTTGGTATGGTTTTGATCCTGATTTTCGGAGAAGTCCTGGGTCTTTACGGGTATGCATTTCTATATATGGATCTGAACTGCAAGGGACTAATGGATGCTGCAGTCTTATTGTCGGCCTTATCCTCAACACTCACAGCCGCGGATGAGCAAGTATCGGTGAAGAAGCCTCGTGCGCACGATTGGCGGTGAGCCGTCGGTTGTGAACATGAGCGAGACACGCCACGGAACTAAGCTAGCATGCACTGTACGAAGCGCTCCTTTGGCTGCACTGGAAGGATGGAGCATTCCATCGGATGGTGAGCCCGAGGCTGGAGCCTGGCGTGCAGCGTATAGTTATAAATTGCGTCGCCGTTAGACAGTGTTTGCGGTAGAGGGCGCCGGAACGGGCCGGAAAAGGAAATGTATATATATGTGTATCACGCTGCAAGCAAAGTAATGGTCGGCCTTGCCGAAAAGCAGACCAAGGCATTCCGTGACTGAGTCGCGATCCATCATGCAGCGTCGCACGTGCTTCGTCATGCGGAGGTGGACCCCACGCATATCGCAGGTCATCTGCCGGCGATGCAATGCGATGGCCGACCGAGGGAGCCAAATGGCGGGTTGGACTCGATGGGCTGAGCGAGGCTAGACCAAGATCGAGGAGCCTGGTTGCTGGTTGCTCGGCCGTAGGGCTTTTTTTCTGCGATGACTAGCTGGGTGGAGCCTGGGATGTCAGGCAAAGCAGAGGAGCGTCATCACTCTCCTCGCGCCGAGTGCGATTTGCGCCGACAGACCCCTCCATCTATCAAAACACGCCGCCCACGCTTCTCACGCCTCTCAGCCTCTCCACCACCACCACTCCGCATCCACTCTGCCGCTTGCTGCCTCTGCCGAGTCGCAGGCCCGCTCTCGCGAAACCCATGCGCGCAGACATGTTCTAACTGAGCGCGCCAACCCAACCACGACCACATCCTTCCCACCGCCTCGTCGCGCACCACGGCTATGGCCGCAGCAACCTCCGCAATGCACCACCTCGTTCCGCACAGCATGCGCAGCTCCAACCACAACGGGCACAGCGACGATCGCAACTCCTCCAACCAATCACAGAAGCACAACAGCCACGCGGACGCGAAGCAGCGCGAAGAGGAAAAGAACCGCTTGGCCGAATGGGAGGCGGAGAAGGATCCGCTAGAGCCGGATGTTGTAGCCGCCGATCCCACCAAGAAGAGGGTCGGCCATTCAGCCAAGTACCTACGCTGCGAGGACTTTGAGCTGGTGAAGACACTGGGCACGGGTATGCGCAACACCGTCATCGCGGGGTGGTCTGTCGAATCCCGGGGCTAAACTTTGTTTTTTCCGTGACTATTAGGGACGTTCGCGCGAGTATGGCTTGCGCGCCTCGCAAATCCCCGTGAAGGAGATCGGGACAAGGTCTTCGCACTCAAGATCCTCCGCAAAGTGGACGGTAAGCTGCCCGAGCCCAGGCCACACTCTGGCACCAATGGACTGACACAAGCGTTCCTGCAGTGGTACGGCTCAAGCAAGTGGAACACGTCCGCAATGAACGCAACGTCCTGGCCGCTGTTGCTGGTCATCCCTTCATAACGACCATGGTCGCCAGTTTCCAAGACCAGGACTCGCTCTACATGCTCGTTAGTTCAACCGTCTCCACAAAAAATACCAGATTAGGCAGTGGGCTAACCTTGATGCGTCCATCAGCTCGACTACTGCCCCGGTGGTGAAGTTTTCAGCTACCTCCGTCGTGCACGGCGTTTCAATGAGCCGACGTCCCAGTTCTACGCCGCGGAGATTGTGTTGATTCTCGAGTTTTTACACGAAAAAGAAGGCGTCGCTTACAGAGACTTGAAGCCCGAAAACATCCTGATAGACGCTGAAGGTCACCTGAAGCTTGTCGATTTCGGATTCGCAAAGAAAGTTGAGCAAAGTCAGTGTTGCACTGTTTCTAAAAGATTAGAACACCACTAACCGTGTTGTAGGAGAAACGTACACGTTATGCGGAACCCCAGAGTATTTGGCTCCTGAAGTGATCAGGAATACCGGTAAGACACTCAACTGCAATACTTGCATGAAGATGAACTGACGATTGTCCAGGACATGGTTGCGCGGTCGACTGGTGGGCTTTTGGTATTCTCGTTTATGAGTTCTTGGTCGGCCAACCTCCTTTCTGGGACCAAAACCCTATGAAGATCTATGAGCAGTACGCCCCTTTCCCATCTCAATTTGCATAGGTCGATACTCACTATCTTTTCAACAGAATTGTGGAAGGGCGTGTTCGCTACCCTTCGGCCATGTCGCCTGACGCTCGTGACCTCATTGGCAAGCTTTGCACCGTCGACACGTCCAAACGCCTTGGCAACATCAAGGGCGGCGTTGGAGCCGTCAAAGCACATCCCTGGTTCCGTACCATCGACTGGGAATCTTTGTATTACCGGAAGGTCCCGGGCCCAATCATTCCGCATTTGAGAGGACCGGATGACACTAGGAATTTCGATGAGTATGACCCCGAGCCGGAAGGGCGTCCGCCATATACGCAAGACATGGCGGACAAGTACGACGAGGCGTTCAAGGACTTTTAGATGATAGCATCGGCAACGGTCGTTTGGAAAGAGGAGGTCACCGGGAGTTGTTGGCGGCGAGTTGTGCTTGTACAGAGAGCACCGTGAACTGTATATGAAAACGGGCGGCACAAGTTCCACCTGGGCCAAGGAACTGTTGGATACCCAACGTCGCTTGGAATACGTTTGACGAGTCCCGAGTCTGGTGTTTTACGGAGGATTGGAAAGGTTTTGATACCTGCCGTTTGTCTTTTTCTTATGGAGGGAGTAGTAGCGGCGCTGCCGCTGCTGCGTACACTGACCCATGTGGTATAGGTATTGTTCTCTTTGAGAGTGTATAGTTGTACCTACTTATCACGTTTTCTTTTTCTCATAGGCCAGGCTATGCCCTGTAGATGTTAGCGACAGAACAGCGGCAATGCCGGTAATGCAGTTACGCATGACGGTTGCTCTGATGATTGAATGAAATGCGGAGTTTTTGGGGGGCTTTGAAGAGACAATCTCTTAGTGCTTGGTATGTGCTAGTATCGATACTGAAATGCTAAGGATGCGAAGTTCGCCAAAAATAGTTGATAGCAGCTCGCGTGTTGATCAAGATGAGCAGTTCGTGGGGTTTACTTTGTAGATCCCACTGCTTGTTGTGGCGTGATGTTCAAGAAGCCCCTTCACAACCCCGCTCATTTTTGGGAGGTGTTGCTACTATATACACAGTACATCGACGCCAAGCAGCCTGCACTACTGAAACTATGCAACATCCTAGCCGACGGCCTTTCACATAGCACAGCGGCAAAAAGGCTACCCGCAGCATGCTGCTACCCGCTCGGCGGATCGCCTGGTGCAAACTGGTCATCTGCAGGTACGCAAAATTCTTGTTGCAACACAAGCAACACCTTCGGAGATGGCTAAAACATGGCCCTATAGAAAAAGCGCAGGACACAAGCTGAACAAAGATCATCACCTCTCAAAGCGGCTAGTTGTCCCAACCGGGGTAGCATTCCCGTGCAACGTTCGGGTGCTCTCCACTCCCCGCCCCGCATTTTACCCCACGCGCGGCACCCAACACCGCCTTGTCAGCGGCAATCACTTGTCCTGCTGCCCGGCGGCAAGCGGGGGTCAGAGTGTCCGATTCGCGACCCCTCAATGCAAATCCCACCCCGTGTATTCCCCAATCTTGACACTCCCCGGCGGCTGACCGCAAAAACTGGCAAACATGCTGCGCACCCTGCTCAGAAGGAAGCCTTCTCCTTTGAGAATCAGTCTCAAAGGCCCCTGCGAGACAAAGAGAAGCCTCCTGACCAAAGCGTTTGCTAGCGGGCCAACACAGGTAGCGTATAGCTTTCATTTCTTGTCATCATCAAACCGCACGTCGACTAACGCTCAATAAATGTAGCCGCCATTGCTCGAGCAGACGGTGGACAAACACTTTGCCTCGATCGTCTCGCAACATGGAGACCGCCCTGCGTGAGCACACCTCTTGGCAATAGCTTGTCGCTTCATGCTAAGACAGCTCAAGCGTCATATCCCGGCATCAACGGACGACGCTTTCCTATGACGCTCTCGACAGAAAAAGCAATTCTCTGGCACGTGGTATGCAGAGCATAGGTGTCAAGAAGGGAGATCGAATTGCTGTTTGTCTCGGTGACAACATAGAATACACTACCGTAGGCAGTTTATTCCAAGCTGCTGGACTTTGCTGATCGGCTTCCTAGCTCATCTATGCCCTCTTCAAATTGGGTGCAATTTTGGTTCCGATAAACCCCGCATTCAATGCCACACAGGTTGTTTCCGCGCTCAACCATCTTGCCGTTAGCCATATAGTCATCGGTACTGAAACCAGACGGCCACGAAAAGAACCAAGATCTAACGTTCCTCTATTGAAGCACTTGATTGCAGATCTAAATGGATCAGCAGGTCAGGTGCACTCTGAGCTCGTGCCATCCCTGCAAAGCGTTGTCCTCGTAGACAATTCTGATGGCCGAGTTGATGTTCAGAACCTTGGATTAACTCCCTGGTATGCTGTCCAAGACGGAGGAAGCGGTGCAGAGAGGCCTTTGCCGGAACAGGGATTGGATCCAAATGATATTGTCAACATTCAGTTTACTTCTGGAACGACTTCGTCGCCAAAAGCAGCATGCCTTATAAACAAAGCCATTTTGAATAATGGGAGAAGCATAGGGGACCGAATGTTACTGACAAGCAAAGACGTAGTTTGTTGCCCGCCACCTCTGTTCCAGTAAGTGTTGTCTCAGTGCCAAGAATATATCAGATCACTTACATTTACAGCTGCTTCGGTTCCGTCCTTGGCTACATGGCCACAGCCACCCACGGCTCAGCCTTCGTACTTCCAAGCGAATGCTTCGATGCCGAGGCCTCTCTACGGGCCGTCCAAGAATATGCCTGCACAGCCCTCTACGGCGTCCCGACCATGTTCCTTGCGGAGCTCGAACTCCTGGCCGCTGGCGTCGTCCCCAATACAGGCTTCTCGCAGCTCCGTACCGGCATTGCGGCAGGCAGCTCCGTTCCTGCGGAGGTTATGAAGAAACTACACAAAGTGCTGAACTTGACGGAGCTGACAATCTGCTACGGGATGACGGAGACCAGTCCGGTGAGCGCGATGACAACGACGGACGATCCGATCAAGAAACGCGTCGAGACGGTGGGCAGGCTGATGCCGCACGTCACGGCCAAAGTGGTGAATCCGGCGGATTGGACTCAGGTTCTGAATGTGGGCGAGCGTGGAGAGCTGACTGTCAGTGGGTATCTCACGATGAAGGGCTACTGGGGTGACGAGGAGAGGACTGCAGAAGTGCTTGTGCCGGATGAAGAGGGCATGTTGTGGATGCATGTGAGTTGCAGCAGCGCTTCGGATCGTGATGATGACTGACACATTTTTAGACCGGAGATGAAGCATCCATGGACGAGGAAGGCTATGTGACCATCACTGGTCGCATCAAAGACCTCATCATCAAGGGCGGAGAGAACATCCATCCAAGCGAGGTGGAAAACTGTCTCCTCGCACACGATGCTGTCGCAGAAGTGTCCGTTGTTGGCGTGCCAGATGAGCGCTACGGAGAAGTTGTATCCGCATTCATAGTCGTGCACTCGAAAATGCAAATGACAGCGAAGGAAACGAGAGACTTTGTTGGGCAGAACCTGAGCCATCACCTTGGTAAGTTGTACTGGATTTGTGACAATGAAGGGACGAGGTAGTTGACGGTTGATCTCACAGTACCGAAGTATGTCTTCTGGGTGGATTCGATTCCGAAGACGGCCAATGGAAAGACGCAGAAGTTCAAGCTGAAGGAAACAGCTATACAGATGCTAAAAGATGGAAAAGGTATCGAGTAATGTCAGAAAATTGTAAGAATTTTCGGTCCACGCGACCATAGATCTCATACGTTTAGACTGTAAAAATTGAGAGAAGTGCTGCTGCTCATTATCAAAGTCGGCCTTGATAGTGAAAATTGCATGCCTTCGAGGAGCATCGTAGGTTGTTAAACACTCACCGCTGATTGAGCGTCAAGCCGCGCCTTCCTACTCCGATGAACTCCTACTTCCTTCCTATTCGAGATCTGACCTGACCCGTCCATAGTCTTCATCACCACAAAACGCTGTCGCTCATTCTTTCTCCACTCAACCTTTCCCTCCACTCATTTTTCTCTTCATACTACCTCCACTGCTCTCCACAAGCCACGACACACCTGCCGACGCGTGTGGCGTTTCGCGGCCTTGCCGCAGTATTGTGACGCCCTGCTCTGTTCGCCTCTCGGACGCCCCGATTCGCTGGATTTTAGCGCTTGAGACGTAAACTTCCCTCGTTCTGCTTGAGATGTTGCTGGGCTAATGGTACTGCCTAGGTCGACCATCTTTCGTGAGTTTCACTTCACCAAGTCATCGACCTTTGTCGTGATCTAACCAAACTCGCCAACAAGACATCGGTCCTTCATGGTACAAACCGACTTGCAGCCGACGCAAGCTGGCAACCGACGCCGGGTTCTGGCCAGAGTAGAGATCCCACCTCGCGAACGAACTATCCCGATGACGCGCGATGCAGCTGCTGGACGCCTTTCCGCTGAAGCCATGGAAGCAGATCGCGAAACACCGTCCCGCTCTAGCAAGAGACCAGGATCTCCGGTTCCACATCTAGAACAGCGAGGACCGAAAAAGCTGAAAGTGCTAGAGACGCTGAAAGCCCGCCAGGAAGAGACCAACAAATTGGTCACAGACTACCAAGGTCTCACAGTAAAGTTTCAGGATACTAAACATGAGAACGAAAGACTTCAGAAAGAGCTTGAGGCCTCAACACAAAACGAAGGAAAGTTAATGGATGAGTTGAAAGTGGCGAAGGAAGAGCTGGCAGCTGCAACCCAGGTACAAGGTTGCAATGTTTGCCTGAGCGACGAGTTTGCCATATACTCCTACCAGGCGAAAAAACATTGTGAGGGCTTCAAAGAAGACGAACTTTCTCTCGATGATCTCGAAACTTCACATAAAAATATGCACAGAGTATATCCGCGCATGGCGGAGATGATGTCCCGAGGAAAGAAGCTAGTGGAAGGAGGTTCTGTTGCTGGTGAGGTTGGGGGATTGGACAGCATAACAAGCGAAAAGAGCGATGAACGACGGAGATCAGTTTCTCAAGAAACATCAGAACTTGCTTCACTCTCAGAAGAGTTTTACATCTTCTTCTTCAGAGTGTATCAGTTGGTTGAGGCGATGCATAAACAGAGCTGCTCCGTTGCCGAGGTAGGAGGTGCTATGAAGGACCTGATTTATTATATCGACAAAACAATCGCTCAAGGAAATCCTGAGATAAGTTCAAAAGCACTTGTTGGAAGAGGTCGCAAGATTCTTCAAGATCGTCACGACTACTGGAAAGACAACGGACAGCCTGGCGATCCTCCAGATCTCAGCATAAAACCACTGGAGATTCCGTCACGCATCCAGGGGTTCAAAGACGAGCTAGCAAAAGCTTTCGAGGAGATAAGCCACCTGAAAGTTGAACTCGAAGCGGCTAAAAAGGAAACTCCAAAAATCAAAAATGCGCAAAAGAAACAAGCCACTAATCTAGAGGCTCGGCTGGGTAAACAAGTTACCAGTCCAGAGACTCAATTGGAGGAAGCAAAAGCATCACAGCGTATGTCGATCTCCGTTATTAGCACCAGAACTCAAATAGTTCTATATTGGGCTTCAACAGTCGCCGAACAGCTCGAAAACCTGGATAATGATTACATTAAAAAACTGCGGAAGGCTTTTGATAGGATGGAAGAGTTGCATGCCCAAGAAAAAAAGGCTGGCCGTAAAAAGTACAGCTTAGCAGAGGTCATCGTACATGGAAGAGAACTTGCCATAGCTGAAGCTAAACGAGAGAGACAAGCCCCCACAGAACAGCAGACAAAAAAGAGTGCCAGCAAGGAGCCGAATCAAAAACAACACTCTACTAAAAAACGTGGGGCCAAGCTCGAGAGCAAGGGTGGTGATGCACCCAAATCTAATGCGGGACGTCAAACGCCAAGTGCTCAAAAGAAGGGAACTTCCGAAACCATCGTGATCGATGACACTCCACCTATGACGCCAAGGGCCAGGTCTCCATCAGCTGCTGAACAGGATGCTCCGCAAGAAGCCTCAGCGCAGAATAATCCGGTTGACCAGAACCCGCAGTCTGCGTAGAACTCCAGAGGAAGTTTGTCTATCCGGTTGACCAGAACCTGCGAGACGAGGACAGTAACAGCGAAGCAGTTACTATTGCTCCAACCACCATCCCCCCCTCTAAACAGGAAAGCTGAACTCCGCCAACCAACGAGATAGGATGTGTCAATAAGACTTTGATAAGCCCGGCGACAGTTGAGAACGGACCTCCGGCTCCGGAACATGCAGAAAGGACTGAACAATCCACAGACACCGAGTTAATCTCCAATGTGCAGATGCTTTGCAATCAAACGGGGCAACCCATCACTTCGAATGCTAAGCATCCACAAACAGCCAAAGATGAGCCAGGAAACTGCAATACAGCTGACCCTGTTATCCATGAGGTTGTAGATACAATGGATCCGTCTGCCAGCCTCGAGCTAGCAAACAACCCAAGTCCGATGCAAGCTGAACACTCAGTCGAGGATCCGCTGGACAAATCGGATCCGCCTGATACCTCGGAAGTAGCCCAAGAACTTCTTGTCCATTGCAAGACAGAAAACGATTCAAGCCCAACACTGACGGATATTGCTGCTCAAGGTTCTTTGGGTGAAATCGATTACCTTGATGCCTACTTTGAGTGAAACCAATGACTTTGATGCCTCAGAAGCTGCGCAAGTTGCGCAAGGGCAAACCGTCATGCCTGAGTCACAAAACGATCCCAACCCGACACCAGCAGGTCCTACTGTGGAGGGCCCTCTGGATGATGTGGACCAGTATAATACCACTGAAGCCATACAAGAGCAGACGGTTGTGTACGGGCCAAGAATGATGGAAAGTCAGTCTATGGCGGTAGATGATAATCCGAACACGCCCGCGTCTCGCAGGCCACATATTGGGGGCGATGCTACAATGCAGCCACCGGAAACCCAACACCAATATGTTCCGGAGCTGGGGCCTCCAGAAGAAGAGAGGCTTCTGGCAGCAAAGATGGATGACAGCTCGGTCTCGGTCTCTTCGAGGCAGGGTTTCTTCTGAAGTAACGTCTCAGGCAAAACTCTCCTTTGGTCTATGAGCTACGAACCCCAAAATGATCCCAAAGGCTTTGGGACACTGGATCTTGCGGGAAGGGGAAGAAAAGATTGAGGTACACAAGTGCTTGGAACAAATTGAGAAAGTTGAGGACAGAATCGACGTGGGCTTTGCTTAGCATTTCACACCAAAAGTTAGTCAATACATCTGAGCTTAAACATGATTCTAATGCAGCTTGGTGTTATGTGTGAACAAAAATTAGCGAAAGAATGATCCATTAGAATCCATGGGAATCCTAAGTCGTCGGTGACGTCGTGGTGGGCTTATCGATTGCAGTTACCGTGGTGACGGGACCGCACTAAAGCCAAAACAGAAACCTCCCGCAATTTCTCTGGACACTCATTAAGTCGACATTTGGCTTCCCACGGCATTCACTCTCCCAAGTCACCCAAAATGGCGCCCCCAAGGATGGTTTATGGCAAGCGCCCCAAAACCAACAACGCTTTCGCTACTTCCTCCAACTTCAACTGGTCCAGTCCCGGCAAATCCCCCACCGAGAAACGCACAACGAACGGGATCGAGGATGTCACAAACGCAGTTGATCGCCTGGATATAAAATCAGAGGACAATAAAAGCAAAACGGTGGAAAAGAAGCAGGACAGGGCGCTTCGCACCATAGACGGCAATGCGACACCCAAGCCAGCGCGGCGGAAGGCGAAGGAGCACAAGGAGAATATTTCCGAGGTCGAGAATCACGAACCCGCGACGCCTGTTTTGAAATCAAAGCCCGAGAAGAAATCTCGAAGGGTTGAGGAGCACACAAATTCGAAAAGCGAAAGCACACCGGAGCCAACACCAAGGCTCCGTCGGCATCGCAGGATGAAGGAGGCTTCGGCTGAGGTCAAGGAAGAAATTCCCGACTCTCAGGATGAAGAGGACAATGCGACATTGAAAGAAGAATCCACAAAGCATACGAACCTAGAGCCTACTCTGGAAACCCCCGTCAAGACTTCCTCCAACTCCCGCCGCCGCCGCATTGCGCCTTCGACTGTTCTCCCTAGCCCGGCGCCTTCAGACCCCCTCTCAATTTACACTAAGCCCCTTCTCCGCCTGTGCAATGACCCGCACGGCCGTGTCGCTCCAACTCCCTTCTCTACCTGGTCCGCCTCTCTCGAGCCGTACTTCAATATTCTCAAGATCGCCGAAGCCTCCTACGGCGAAGTCTACCGGCTCTCACTCAAGTCCCCCCACCCCAACTTCAGCACATCTGATGAATCTGTCCTCAAGATCATCGCACTCCGCCCTCCTCCCGGCACCGTTCCACGGAAGAAGGGCAAGAAGACAAAGAAGCAGAAGGCACTAGAAGAGAAGATCGAGGGCATGAGCACGGTCGAGTCGGTGGAGAGCGAAGTCAAGCTTATGCAGCGCATGACGCACGTTCCAGGCTACACGAACTTCCGCGAGGTGCGCGTGCTGAAAGGCATGCCGACGGATCCGTTCGTAACGGCGTGGAGGGATTGGAATGAAGGTAGAGACGAGGAGAAACAGAGTATCTTCCCGGATCCGGGCGAGCAGGGCAGTTACGACGACGACCAGCTATGGGCGGTCGTCGAAATGCAAGACGCCGGCACGGATTTGGAGGATCTGAAGCTGGAGGACGTCGGCGGCGTGTTCGGCGTGTGGGATATTTTCTGGGGTGTTGCTCTCGCGCTCGGCAAGGGCGAAGAGGAGGCGCGCTTTGAGGTAAGCTTTGCAGCATCATCTACCATTTCTCGGCCATGTCACTAACCCCACTAGCACCGCGACCTCCACATGGGCAACATCTGCATCAAACCCTCTTCCCCGACCCTCCCTCTCCTCGCGCCCGCCTCCCATCTCACAACCCACACCCTCAACTTTACACACCTCGAAACCACCATCATCGACTACACGCTTTCGCGCGCCCAAATGTGCGACCCAACGCACCCGCTCTTCCTCGACCCGCCCGAGTCACACATTGCGTACCTAGACCTCGAAGCCGATCCCGGCGTCTTCGACGGCGACGAAGAAGTAGAATACCAGTACGCGATGTATCGGCACATGCGCTCGGCGGTGTACTTGGACGACCCACTAGCGGACATCTACGAGCGATGGGACGAGGCGACGGAGACGGGGCGCACGTGGCAGGGCTTCCATCCGCAGACGAATCTGGTGTGGCTGCACTTCGTGCTGCATGAGCTGGTGAAGGACTTGCCGTTCCCCCCTTCGTCTGCTTCGAGGAAGAAGAACGGCAGTCGCAGCAAGTCGAGGTCGCGTAAGGCTGCGGATGCGGAAGCGGACCCGGAGGACGCTCTCCAGGCTAAGCGCACGCAGCTTGCCAAGATCTTGAAGTATATTCACCAGAAGCTGCTTGATCCTACCAAGCTGCCTGCTTCGGGTCTGCATTCTACGAAGGACTTGATCGCGCTGGCGCTGGAGGAGGGATGGCTGAGTGAGGACGATGTTGTTGCTTCTTCGGGAGCGGAGGAGGTGGAGGGGAGTTTGGTGGAACTGGTCAGTGCGTTGGATATTGGGGAGGATAGGAGGAGGAGGAGATAGATAGAAGAGGGTGGGTATGGCATTGATGGCGTTAAGGATGGGTATACCTACTTGGCGTTTTTAGAAGGGTTGAGAGCAGGGGCATTGCATAGGGCTGGGCTGCGGACTCCGCGGTAGTGATGCCCATGTAAACGCGAACCGGAAGGGTTGGATACCTATTGAACGTCATCAATTCAACAGAGGCAGTAGAGATGAGGCACCAGGGCATCCACGGGCCTCGGCCTCGCCCGGAGCCGACCGACCGTCCCCGCCGACGTCACATGGCAGGCCGACGGCTATACACGGCCCAAGCCACCCGTGGGACCCTTGCGGGGTACCGGGTACGAGCCGGCGCTACCCCAGATTCCGTTCACCCTGCCAGGCACTCACTCCCTCTCGCACCTCGCCCTCCCGCTTGCTCGCCCCAACAATACCTAATGGCCTCGATATCTGTGCCCCGTCTGCTCGCCCGCGGCGCCGTGCGCCCGCTCTGTCGGCCCCGTCCCTGCTGCCCCCGCCCCCAGTTCCAGCGCGCGTTCCTCTCCTCGAAACACCCTAGCGGCTTCGTGCCGCCAGCCGTGGAAGACCTGGAGGAGCTCCGCGAACGGGCGCAAGAGTTTACGCGTGAGCGACGCCCTCTCTCTCACACTCTCCCACTAGCATCACGACCGCGCAAGAACTCTAGCAACAACAGCCAGGTAGCTAACACGCGCGCGCGCGACCCCCAGGCCGCGAGATCCCCGAAGACGTCGCCGCGCACACTGACCGCACCAACGCCTTCCCAAACGAAATGTGGCGCAAGCTCGGCGACGCGGGCTTCCTGGGCATCACGGCTGACGAGGAGTACGGCGGGCTGGCCATGGGCTACCAGGCGCACTGCGTCATCATGGAGGAGATCAGCCGCGCCTCGGGCAGCATCGGCCTCTCGTACGCGGCACACTCGCAGCTCTGCGTTAACCAGCTCATGCTGAACGGCTCGCCGGACCAGAAGTTGCGCTTTTTGCCGGGTTTGGTTGCGGGCGAGAAGGTCGGCGCTCTGGCTATGAGCGAGCATTCTGCTGGCAGCGATGTTGTGAGCATGAAGACGACGGCGAAGAAGGTCGATGGCGGGTTCTTGCTTAATGGCACCAAGATGTGGATCACAAACGTACGTCCAGCCTCCCATCCTTCCCACCTCGTGTACAACCTTCTTAGCAGCCGAGCGCTAACCTGCCTCCGTGCCCGCGCCGCAGGGCCCCGACGCAGACTACATCATCGTATACGCGAAGACGACGCCCGACGCCGGCTCCAAGGGCATCACGGCCTTCATCGTCGACACAAAAACAAAAGGCTTTTCGTGCGCGCGCAAGCTCGACAAACTCGGCATGCGCGGCTCCAACACGGGCGAGATCGTGCTCGAGGACGTCTTCGTCCCCGCTGAGAACGTCCTCGGCGCCGTCGACAGGGGCGTCCGCGTCCTAATGGAGGGACTTGATCTCGAGCGCCTGGTCTTGAGCGCTGGGCCCATCGGGTATGTAACACTCCCTCCCTCCCTCCTTCCAAGCTCCTACGCAGGCTAACGCTCCACACAGCATCATGCAAGCGTCCCTCGACCTCGCCCTCCCCTACACCCACACCCGCACCCAGTTCTCTATCCCCCTCGCCCACAACCAGCTCATGCAAGCCAAGCTCGCAGACATGCACGTCGCCCTCTCCTCCGCGCGCGCCTACACGCTCTCGGTCGCCGCGGCCATTGATCGTCATCACGAAGCCATTGCCGCAGACGACTGGCTCATCCCCACCCAGGACTGCGCCGGCGCCATCCTCTTTGCTGCCGAGCGCGCGACGCTGTGCGCGCTGGATGCAGTGCAGTGTCTCGGGGGCATGGGCTATGTGAATGAGATCCCGGCCGGACGGTTGTTGAGGGATGCGAAACTGTATGAGATTGGCGCGGGGACGAGTGAGGTTAGGAGGATTGTGATTGGGAGGGCTTTTAATCGCCTGTATAAGTAGGCGTGGGCGGGGGAGGTGATAGTAAGGTATTGGTTAAGACTAGGTTGTTTGGAGTTGCGTCTTTTATTTAGTGTTTGCGCACCGTGTCTTGTGTTGGCTTTTGGGACGAGATGCTCGCTCGTATTGCGCTTTAGACGATATACATACATACATGTACGTGATATGACGGCCTTGTCTACCTGCTTTGGCTTTGTGTCTACCGCTTTATTTGAACAGCAACGTTCTAGTTACCATTAGTTTCCTTGTGTTTACTTAAATAAGCCAAGCTATAAGTCAGACTGTCGTTTTGAACAGCGTTCAAAGCCGCTCCATCATCATCGTCTAAAACTCTCAGTCAATCTGATTGGACTTCAACGTTCCGTTCCGTTCCGTTCCCTGCAAACGACCCCACGACCCTTGAACTCCAAGATAAAAAGAAGCTGCTGCAACCTGTCCAGCAAAACGCCACTCTATCTCCTACCCAACATTCCGCGCAGCACGTCTCTGCGGAACTGTTCGCCATAACTGCAACGCCCTGTCCTCAACGTCTCCGTACTGCGCAACTACTTTGGCGGCTCCGGCAACGCCGCACCGTCATAAGGCTGGCTGTCAGGGCCAACGTGAGGGCGGATGTCCTCCGAAAGCGACATCGGGTCGATGTACCGACACGTAAGCGCAAAGCGCAGCGCGCCATCAGGAACAACAGCATGCTCATAGTACTTCTGAATGTCTGCGCCATGCATGAGCATGACGTCGCCGTGCCGGAGCTGCAGCGTGACGACGTCCCTGGCGTTGCCCTTGGCCTTCAGCCCCAGCTCCTTCGGCAGCGCCTTCACGCGTTGCTTGTAGGTCGCCGCCGCCTCTTCGCCGCCTGTTGCCTTCAACGCCTCGAGCTCCTGCCACGCGGCTAGCCGTTCGCTGTATTTCTCGCACCCGGGCATCGGCTTGTCGGTTACCATGACGCCCGCTTTCGACACCCCGTTGTAGTGCTTCTCTTTCATGCGGAGCTTCATGGGCGCTGGCCAGCCGAGCGAGAGCGAAGCAATGGTTGGTCCGAGCCCGGCTTCTCCGTCGTCGTGGTAGTCGATCGCTTGCTTTTCAAAGTAGCCGATCAAGAGCTCCTCGTTGAAGTCCAGGGAGGGATTCGGCGTTTGCGCAAGCTGCAGCGCGTGCCGCGCCACCCAGTTGAGGCGCGAGCGCGTGTTCTTTATTGCTGCGGGGGCGGTGTCGAAGGACTCGCTGGCTGTTTGGGCTACGAACTTGTAGTACATTCCGTAGTTTAGACAGAAATGCTGCGTTAGTTGTCCGCCACGGAGAGTGGTGCTGCTCAGTAACCGGCGCCGCAGGTCGATCTTTCCGGCTTCAAGCTCGGTCTGTAGCCCCGTGAACATGTCGTCTGGACCTCCCTGCTCCTCGTTCACGGTTTTGTTGGCCATGTAATGCGCCACGAAGCCATCTACTCCTGGAACCCGGTAGATGTGGATCCGGTAATTGTGGAGGAAATGGAGCTCCAGTTGAACTTCCGGCGCGTGGTAATCCTTAGACGGAGCGTAGGCCGACGTGAGCGGGCTGTAGTAGTCCCGGAAAGCAGTCGGGGGGATGATGCTGTGTGGGATTTTGTGCTCGAAATTGCAGGCGGTGTTTCCGCACTTCCACCCATTCCAGGTCTCCCGCGAACTGCATCGACCGCACTTAGGACACACAAAGCCTTTCCATGCGACCCAGGATATGGCTTGTCCGGCGGTTGGGGCAGCGCCATCTAATATCATAGGCTCTGGCTTTAGAGGCTGGGGCTCCGCTGAATGTGGCCACTCTGTGCGTTGCTTCAAGAAGCGCGGGTCGTATAACAACTCCACCGGCTCGAGTCCGTTAGGAAGCTTCCAAAACCTCTTGCATTCTTGGTGAAGGCACATCCAGCCCTGCAAATAGACTTGTGGGCTGGATTCCCGACAGAGGTTGCAAGTAGCTTCTACCGGTGGCGGTAGGGATCCGACTTTGGGTATCTCCTGATTTGCAGGAGCCCACCAGCTCGCCTTCTCCGGCTTGAGCTTTTCGAAGCGGTATCGAAAGACGATCCTGCCATCTTCCTTCTCTGACCAGATGTGTGTTGGCTTGAACCAGTCCATGACACAATACGCGTGGGGCACTTTTGACGGTATGTTCGGATTCTTTTGTCCAATGATCAAAGCCACAGCGCTCTTGGTCCTAATGTTGAACTCCAGATTCTGGACCTGTTTTGTCAGGCTCTGATCTCTGCTTCGGACCATGCTGCCGGATGTCTCGTCTCTCGAACGGCCGCCGCCAGATAGGGAGAGCACAACATCGACATCCATATAATCGCGCTCGCCTGAGTGCTTGTCAAACATGAAGGCGCAGGCGTAACCTCCGGTACAGTACCCAGCACACTGATAGCCACGGTAGTATGGCAGCGTCTCACACAACGCTTGCCGTCCATCCGCCCATACCTCGGGGAGGCCCATCGGATCCGGTTTATCCTTGGAGGTGCTGATGACCATGAGTTTCCTGGAGAGCTCAGCCATATCACGGCCCTCTGGCGTGGTCATGAAGTCTACAGGAGGTTGCACTCCAGGTCCATGGTCCAGTGATGGTTGGGGTCGCACTTTTGCCGGTGACACGAGAGCTAAATCCTCAAATCTTTGCGCTGTTTGATCAGCGGTTTCTCCCACCGTGGCCGGCCCTGGAGCGGGCGAAGAGACCTCCTCTTCTGTCACTGATGGAGACCCTAAAATGACCTTGGGGCGTTTCGACCTGTTGGACTCGGAGACTGCGGAACCGCCTTTACGCTTTCTGTTCTTACTCTTCTGTTTTTGGTCCTTCTTACTCTCTTGTTTTTTGCCTTTCTTATTTCCATTACTGACGGCCTTCTTTTTCCCCTTAGTAGCCTTGCGAGAACGACTTCGGACCTGTGCTTCCTCGTAGTCACTGTCCCTTTCGCTTGTATTTTCGCTAATGCGATCTTTAGAAGAAGTTTTTCCTCCTGGAGTCAAGATAAGTCGCGTCTTCGCTTGATGTTGATCAACGGCAGAGTCAGAATCATTAAAAGACCCCCGACTTAGTTCCTGATGATTTTCGTTATCGTCATCGATGTCCGAAGGCACAGAGCTGAGTTCGCTCGATGCGGAACTATAAGTAGGTACGGTTATCTGCGTTGAGCTAAGTTGAGGAAGAGCATATGGAGAAGCATCCGGAGGAGAAGAATTCGTAGTAGAGGAAAAACCCTCCCTGCGAGAACCATCTGTATACAAGAAAACATATTTGTTAGAATCACTCTTAAGTGAATAGCCATCGGTTTATGACTCACCTGTGCTATGAGACGGCGATTTGTCGAGGCCATGGGACCCGCGGACACGACGCTGAGACGTTGCGCGGAACCTCCTTTCGCCGTTCATGTCATCCCCCACACTTTTCGGGATGCCTGACTCCGGCCAACCACTCCGGGGACAAAGGTCCAAAAGCTCCTTGAGCATGTTGAAGGCTGTATCGTTATGGTGTGGGCTTGACGGGAATATATATCGTTGGTTGACACGCTTCTATGAGGTCGGACTTGATTGTATGTTGAAAAGCAAAGTGGCGATTGAAGCAAGACAAGCAGTAGCGAATTTCCCAGCGGACTTATATAGATCGAAAGCTTTGCTAGTTCAAAGAGCAATCTATGTGAAGGAGAGTGAAGTGAAGTTGGCACGTGGGCTGAAATTTCAAGGTTCGATTGAGTATGGCGAAGGTGTTAATTGCGAGAGATGTTTGATTGAATGATTGAATGAAACTTTGTTGCGATGCTGGTCAGCTGGTAGTAGACAGCAAGCAGCTGAGGTCAAGCGGTGTTTGTTAGTCACAGGCGTGGCATTGGATTGCCCGCAAGATGACGATGTGAAGGCGATCGGAAGCAAGCTGTGCCGGTTTGTTGTCAAAGAAAGCGTGACATGAAGCTGAAGCTAAGATAGCAGTTGGTGCGACAAGCCGGCGGTAAGCGGAAAGTTGCGGGGGAGCGGAGGTTGGTGAAAAGGTGGTGGTGACGAGTGGGCAGGCTGGCAGTGGTGATGGTGGGCGCCCGGCATTCGAAAACGGCCAGGTCCGTGCACATGGCTTACCGTCCTGTCGTGCGCCTGCCTAGGTCCGCATATGCCCCTCATTTTGTGTGTTTAGTCGTGTACTACACACACACAAAAAATACCTAGCCACTGTGAAGAAGGACGAACAAACAAGAGCTCACATTTATTGATTACATCTCCGGTGGACCTCGCTCGGCCCGTCTAGTCCGGCAACCTCGGCTCTGACGCGCCCCGCATGATCCTTCGGCCTTTGCTACCCCAGATTTCCTACGCCACATACAAGCTTGATAGGTAGCTCTCTACGATACTTCCGGCTTCCCCAACGGTGTGTTACCCTCTGTTCTAATCTTGACTCTGCCATTGGCTTCGCATTGTGTAATCCCACCACGCATATGCCCTCGCAGCTCTGCTTCTGCAGCTCCATCTAACAGCTTGTTCGCAACCCCTGATCAAAGCGACTAATAATCCCAGCAAACCAGAAACACAGGGCACTATCTCCAAGTAAACCCACCACCAGAGTCTCGTACCCCGCATCCGACCACGAGCCACAGCCAGCATGGTATTTCATCCTCCTTCCTGGGTGCCAAAGCTCCCATTTGACCCTCCGGACTCGATCACGATTGGCGATTTCATGCTGGACGAGGCCTATGGCCGCCATCCGCTGGGATATTCTTACCCGCCCTTTACCTGCGGACTCTCCGGCAAGGAATACTCGGCTTTGGAGGCCAAGGATCGCGTGGAATTTCTGGCGCGCGGGCTGGCGAAAGAGCTCGGATGGGAGCCAAACCAAGGCAACGAGTGGGACAAGGTCATTGCTCTCTTCAGCGTCAATACAGTATGTCGTAAGGCGATCTTAATTCACAGGGATTGCAGCTGACAGCGGCAGATCGACACCCTGAATCTTGCGTGGGCGACGCACCGTCTTGGTGGTGTGCAGACTCCTGCCAATGCTGCTTACTCTGCTCCCGAGATCGAATACCAGTTGAAGGACTCTGGCGCAAAATGTCTCTTTACGTGCTCGACGTTGCTCGACACAGCTCTCGAGGCTGCAGAAAAAGCCGGCCTACCCAGAAACAGGATATACCTAATAGATTTGCCCAAGGAATTTACCGGCGGGAAGGCGACGCCCCAGGGATTTAAGACGCTAGACCAATTGGGTTTGGAGGGCGCTCAGTTGCCGCGCTTGGAGCCAGTGAGATTGGCACCCGGCGAGGGTAGGAAGAGGACTGCATTTCTATGCTATTCGAGCGGCACCTCCGGTTTGCCGGTAAGCCCAGACACTCTCAAGAATCGTTCGGACTCCACTGACATCAATACAGAAAGGTGTTATGATTTCCCACTACAACGTCATCGCAAACACGCTCCAGATCAAGACGTACGACAAGCTTGCACGGAATAAAAAGATTCCACCGGGCACGCAAAGCGACTACACGGAGACAGTCCTCGGGTTACTCCCTATGAGCCACATTTACTGTTTGGTGGTCATTTGCCATGCCAGTGTTTACCGAGGCGATCGAGTGGTTGTTCTGCCCAAGTTTGAGATGAAACCTTACCTCGAGTGTATTCAGCGCTTCAAGATCAATGGCTTATATGTCGTGCCCCCGATCATCATCATGATGTTGAAAAACAAGGCCCTTCTCGACCAGTATGACCTCAGCAGCGTCGACGTGGTTTTCACCGGCGCCGCACCTCTAGGAGAAGAGGTCGCCGAGGACGTCATCAAGCAGTACCCAAGCTGGTCCATCAGGCAAGGCTACGGGCTCACAGAAACCAGCACAGTAGTGTGCTCGACCAGCGAGCACGACATCTGGCTCGGGTCCTCCGGGTCGCTAGTCCCCGGCGTGGAAGCGAAGCTCGTCTCGCTCGAAGGCGTCGAAATCACAGGCTACGACCAGCCAGGCGAGCTCATCGTCAAGTCGCCCTCGGTCACGCTCGGCTACCTGCACAAGCCCGACGCCACGCGCGAAACGTTCCAAGACGGGTGGATGCGCACGGGCGACGAAGCTGTCATTAAGAAGTCGCCACAGGGCCACGACCACGTCTTCATCGTCGACCGCATCAAGGAGCTCATCAAGGTCAAGGGCATGCAGGTCGCGCCCGCAGAGCTCGAGGCCCACCTCCTCACCCACCCGGCCGTCAACGACTGCGCCGTCATCCCCGTCCCGGACCCTAGCGCCGGCGAGGTCCCCAAGGTTTTCGTCGTCAAGTCGTCGGCGGTGGGGCTGGAGGAAAGCGACCGCATGGTTGCAAGGCAGTTGCAGAAATTCGTCGAGGACCATAAGAGCAGGCATAAGTGGCTGAAGGGCGGCGTTGAGTTTGTGGATTCGATTCCGAAGAGCCCGAGTGGCAAGATCTTGAGGCGCGTGCTAAGGGATCAGGATAAGGAGAAGAGGAGGAGGGAGGGCGCGAAGTTGTAGTCTGTATGTACGCGTGGTTGGTTTGGGGGTGGAGAGGGTGTTTTTGGGTGCGTTTGCAGCGTGTGAGCGTTTGTTGGCTATTGGTTGGTGATGCTGTATAGCGGTTGGCGTATACGAATTGTGTATGAAGTCGAATGCCAGATGAATCCTTGGATCTTGGAGATTGTTGCGTTGGACAAGTGTATCCCCGCTGCCTATATAAACTGAATATCTGTCCTAGCAAGTCTTCAGAACTCGATGAGCGCCGGCAGCTCAAGAAGTAGCAAGATGGAGTACCAACATAACAGAGCCGGGGTCGTGACCTGTACGCATGCCCGCCACAGCCTTATCTCGTGTCAGTACTTGCGCCGTTTCCACCAGAGCAGCTCTCCCGCTGCTGTTGGTGTTGAATGACATTGACGTCGTTTGTCATTCTTCGTCAATTGGTGAGTCTTCCGCTGTCGTTGGATATTTTTGGCCACTTAAGGGATAAGACTGGATTGCTGGTGTATATATTATGCCGCGCCCCGACCCGGAGAAGCAGGGCACACACGTGACGGGGCTGCATGAGGCACAGGAAGCAGGCATGAGGTGCATGAAAGCTACCAGGATGCGCGCGAGAGGGGTACTGCATGGGCGGCAGCCAGGCGTGGAACCGCCTCTCACACACCAATGTCTGTCCTGCTTCTCTGAATTCATGTCGCCAATTCGTAGCTAATTCCTGTCCCTTCTCTCTCTCTCTCTCCCCCTTGGTGGTGCGACTCTAGAGCTGCCGCATCGGTGGCCATGCTCTCCTTACACCTTCGCCGCGTGCGCTCAAGTACGTACACAATGTCCCGTACAGGCGCTGGACGTCTCGCTGTAAACAACTCATGGATGACGCTAACCAGCCGCGGGCGAGCAACAGAAGCAACAGCACCAGCACCAGCACCACCGAAAGGCCGAGCAAAGGGCCGACGACCAAGCACGCGCCCGACGCCATCCCGCCTGACGCCAACCCGGCAGCAGCGCGAGCATCAGCCCGAGCAGCTCTCGCAACTCATCCGCGCGCTCAAGCACCGCAGCCGCCCTCCTCCTCCCCCCAATGCGCAATCGAATCCCGACAGCGGCCGCCGCGCCCGCCCCTGGGCCGATGGCGTCAGGGAGCAGTTCCGCGCCTCGCTGCTCGGCGGCGTCGCCCGCGCAAACCAGGTCGACATCTTCCGCGATATCCTCGCCGGGCCCGGCTACGAGCCACGCCAGTGGCCGCAGAGATTGCTGCCCCGCACGCCGCGCGATCTCATGAGCCGTGACTTTGTGAAGCTGGCGCGCAGGGAAGAGAGGGGAAAAGAAAGAGGAGGAGGAGGAGGAGGAGTGGATAAAGAGACGACCCTCGTCGTCCATGCAGCTAAGCTGGCGCTGCGCGATGCGCTCCAGACGTGCGAGTACGAGCACGACTACGTCTGCATCATCGACGGCTTCATGAGCAATCCCGTCCTGACGCGAGACCACAAGCTGGAGCTGCTGGGCTGGGTGAGCAAGCACGTGAGCGCGCGGCTGCGGGCGACCGTCCAGGCGCAGATAACAGTCCTGCGGGCACGCAAGCAGCTCGTCCTCGCCAACGCGTTCAGCGCGCGCGTTTGCGAGGGTGAGCTGCTCCCCCCGCCGCTGATCGAGCTGGGCCTGCTCAGCGCCGTGCGCTGCCGCGCCTTCCAGGCCATGCACAACTACCTCGGCGCCGCCCTCGCCCGCAACAAACCCCTTCCCAGCGCCCTGCTCCGCGCCTTTCTGCACACCGCCCTCCTGCCTCCCCCCGGGGCTGCCGACGGCTACCAGCTCCTCCCAAACGCCGACAGAGACGACACCACTGTCCGCGACTGGCTGCTGCTCCGCCTGAGCAGCCTCGTCGACCGCTCCGACTGGTACGGCAGCTACGAGCCCTTCCTGCGAGCCGTAGCGCACGAGGGCCACACGCGCCGCCTCTGGCACGAGTGGAAGGCCGTCCAGGCCGGCCTGCAGAACGACAAGAGGCCGCAGCAGCAGCAGCGGCGGCGGGCGGGGCGGGCGGGGCTGCCGGGGCCGCGCGACCAGTGGCACGACGCGATGCCCTCGCCCGTCGCGTGGAGCGCCACCGAAGAACACCGCGTCGAGCGGCGCCTGGCGCAGCGCGGCCTCCGCTGGACCGCCACCGCGCGCGCGGAGCTGGCCTTCGTGCTGATGTTCCTGCGCGCGCGCGACCCGGGCCGCGCCTGGGGCGTGCTGGTCCAGTCGGCCGCTTTGCCCGTCGATTGTCTCCCGTGGCACGTCCAGGCCTTGCTGCTAAAGCACCGGAAGGCTGTGCCGAAGGGCTTGCTTGCTAATCAGGGCGCGGGCGTGCTTGCGGACTTGTGTGCTGCGAGGCTGGCGGGTGTGGAGTGCGAGCTGGCTGGGGTCGAGGAGCAGCTGCTTGGGATCAGGCCACGGCCGGCCAGGGTCAGGCATGTGGGTGTCGAGGTCGAGCAAGAAGAAAAGCCGGCCAATGTCAGGAAGATTGGGCATATGCCGGAGATAATCAGGGTAGCGCTGCCCGAGGTGGAGCAAAAACAGCACCCCTCCCCCGCGCCCCAAGACCTTCGCCCCAACACCAGCATCCGCGACGCAACCCTCACCGCGGTCGAGCAAGCGCTGCACGTCGAAATCCCGCAGGAGCCGCACGTCGAGTTCGCGTTCGCGGCCAACAGCAACGACGTGGCCAGTAAGCACGCGCTCCAGCAAACGCTGATGGGCCTATACGAGGCAATGCTGGAAGAGATCGAGCTGGCTTTGGGGCTGGGGACGTGGGTGTGGGATGAGGAGAGCGGGACGGGCTGGCATGAGGAGGGGGAATGGGTGAGTGGTCCTGTTTGTTTTGATTGCTTTGCTTTGATTGCTTTGTTTTGCTGTCGGTGGTAACGGCGCTGACACGGTACAGCGCGAATTAACAGCCGACGCCGCCGCATGGCAAGAAGAGGAAGAGAAGAAGCATCAGCTTCAGCAATCCTCAGCGGCCAAGCGCTCGCCTGCTGACGATGGCGACCGCACGGGGCTACTGCACCAGTATTATGAGACCGAACTGGCTAAGATCGAGCAAGCAATGGGGCTTGGGAAGTGGGTGTGGGATGAGGGCAAGGGCAGGGGCTATCATGAACAGCCGGAATGGGTGAGTTTCTCCCGCTCGCTTCGTCTCGTTCGTCGGTGGCAGTAGCAGTAGTGGCGCTGACACAGACACGGCACAGCTCCGCGAATGCGCATGGTTCGCAACCGACGCCTTATGGCAAGAAGCGAAGCTGCAGCTTCAGCGGCAGCATCCCTCGCCGGCTAAGCGCTCGCCTGCCGCTGACGATGACCCCGCCGGGCTGCTGCGCCTGTATGAGACGGAACTGGCTAATATCGAGCAAGCTATGGGTCTGGGGAAGTGGGTGTGGGACGAGAGCAAGCGGATGGGCCACCATGAGCAGCCGGAATGGGTGAGTCGTTTTTGTTTGTTTGTTAGGTTTTCGCAAGTCCTGTTGACTGACTGGCTGACTCCCCGGTGCTGTATACAGGTCCGCGAATGCACGTGGCTAATGCTTGACCCCGCGTGGAGGGACGTGTTTCGCCACTGGGGGCTGGACGACGAGGAGCGCGTTGCTGAGGAGAAGGAGGGCGACGACGATGACGGCGACGGCGTGAAAGAGGAAGAGGAGGTAGGGCGTTGATGATGCTGGTGGTGCTGGGGGTTTGTTGTAGGTGGGCGTGCAGGCAGCTAGATTAGAGGATGTGTATAGGAGGCATTTATATCAAGATATGTACGTGTGTATGTAGGTAGGTAGGTAGGCATAGGTAGGCGTACACCATCTTTGGCATCATCAACCTGGGAACGACACACACAGACTATTCAGTCAGGCCGGGAATTGGACGGAGCAGAAGGCCTTCAACAACAGCAGCGACGCTAATCCGTAGAATGTGTAGGAAGACTAGGTTCGTATAAACACAGGCTTCTGAAAACCCATTGATCGATATCTAGCACCAGAACGCACCCCAAATTTTTGGACCAAGATCCCAAAGCCATTAGTTACTCCACCGGGCAGCTCCACCCGTCCATACCGTCCGTATCTACAGTGCAATTTGGTATCACAACACCCCCCCCACTCACTACCCCCTCTTCGCGCGCTCAACCCCCACCTTGGCCGCAAACTCGACCGCCTCAACCACCTCCTGCGGCTGGCTCAGAAACGGCGAATGCGAGCCCACAAAACTGAACGTCGTCGTCTCGGGCCCCAGCACCGCCGCCATCTGCTGCTGCATCGCGAGCGGGATGGCTTGGTCTGCTGCGCAGAACAGGTACGTGCACGGCATGTCGTGCCACGGCTCGTAGGTCACGGTGCCCTGGAATACGGGCGCCGATTGGTGCTGGATCTTGGCGATGGCGGCCGCTTGGGCGGGCGCGGGCATGTCGTGGTAGAAGACTTGGGCGGGCGTGGCGGGAGTGCAGTAGTTGCCCTGTCGGTGGCGTTGCGTTAGCTGCACTGCTCTCTGCTCTTGCACCCTTCTCTCGTCGTAGGTAGGTAGGTAGGTAGGTGGTTAGGAAGCAAGCAAGGAGGGTAAGTGGCAGTACTCACGTCGAACTCCAGCCACGCCGGCGCATTCCCCGCAAACATGTCAAACAAACACTTCCCCTTGGGCACCACAAAAGCCGCCAAATACACAAACATGACGACGCCGCCCTTCTTGCCCGCGCGCGCCCGCGTCCGCGCCCCAAGCCCCTCGACCGCGCTCGCGCCCACGCAGCCCCCGTACGAATGCACGACGAGCACGACGCTCTTGCCCGCGTCCGCCAGCTCCGCCACCGCGCCCCGCACCGCCGCGACGTCGTCCGAGAGCGTCGCCGTCGGTGGCTCCGCCCCCACCGACGGGTACGCCACGCTCTGCGTCGGGTAGCCGAGCGCCGAGAGCCGCTCGCGCACTTCGTCGTAGCAGTCGGGCGTGTGCCAGGCGCCGGGCGCGAGCACGACCGTCGGCTTCGCGGCGGGTGGGGGCCGCGTCGCCGAGGGGAGGATCGTCATTGTTGTGCTCGTGGTGGTTTTGGTTGGGGTGGGGGGAGCGGAAAAGCTGCCGGATGAGGCGTCGGGTGTCGGCTCGGATGGCGGAAAAGGTCGGCCTGCCTGGTGGTGGTGGTGGTGGTGAGAGGACGGCTCTTGCGCGTGCCAATTGGGTCCCTTTGTGTGTGTGTGTGTGTGTGGCTTCAATTGGCTTTTTGGAGGGCAATTGGGCTTAGGTAGGTAGGTAGGCAGGAGCAGGAGGAGGAGGAGGAAGAGGAGGAGGGAAGGAAGTAGGTGATGAAGTGGGAGAGTGAGAAAGAAAGAGAAAAGGGAAGAGCAGAGACCGAAGAAAGAAAAATAAACCCACCAGTCAGTCAGTCCGTAGGTCAGTCCATGCCCATCAGTCAGTCAATCAATCAATCGAACAATCGATCAGTCAATCAGTCAATCAATCAGGCAGCAGAAGAAGCAGCTCCAGAGTCAAGCCCCCACCCCACCTCTCCTCCGATTCCGATACTCCCTCCCGGCCTGGCCTGCTCCCACCAGGTCCCTACCTAGGCACAACCTCCCTACGTACCGTACCTACCGCCTCACACAACACGCGGCCACGCCACAAATCCGCCTCGAATCCATCCCGCATCCTTCCCGACGGCGGCGGCGGCAGCCGGAATCCCCAATCCCAACCAGCACCCAAATCCTCCCTCCCAATGGGCAATCCCACGCCCGGCGGTACATCCGTATGGCCAGACCACGCACGGCTACCATGATCCGAGATTCGCTTCCCGCCACGCCGCGTCCCGCATCCGCGGCCGCGGCCAGGGTCTCGTCTGTACAGTACCGAAGAGTGGGGCGAGTCGGCTCAAGACAGGGATGCCCTGAGTCGTGCCGCCTTTTGTAGGGCTTGGGGGCTGCGGCGGCGAGTCGTGCGCGCGCGTGTGCCGTGGGATTGAATCGGGCGGGTTTGCTGCTTGCTTGCTTGCGCTTGCGCTTGTGTGGTTAGGACGGGGACGAGGTGTGCGTGTTTGTGGTGTGTGTTCGTGGCTTGTTGTGTTGGTGGTTTGCGAAGCCATAATAGAGCGCGTTGGGTAAGGGTTAAACGACCACGACGTCGACGCGCCGTCCTTGGCGGCCGCCGCCGCGCGCGCGGGATCGTGGCCGATGTGCGGTGGGTGGGGTCAGTCAGCCAATCTTTCGGGCGTAGCACGTGTCCTCCGTACGAAGTATGTACTCCGTAGCTGTGTCGGACAAGGTTCTAGGTTGCAGCTGGTTGCGCGCGGTCCTGACAAAGACGGTGAGAGAGAACTACCTAGCTAGGTAGAGGAGGCTTCTTTGGCGAACGGGTTTTGCCGTCCTATACTGTAGGTACTTACTTCTCCTCTTCTTCGTTTCCCGCAGAAAAGATTGCGGGTTGCTGCGTCCGTGCGCTGAGCCATGCTGTCTCGGGATGCGGTAGGAGTAGACGATTCGCGCTTTCCTGCATGCGTAAACTGTACGGAGTACCTAGGCAGGAAAACTTCAAGAGTGGGGGGAATCATGACCGCCATTGGAGTGACGATGGCTGCCTGCCCAACCTAGGTAGGTAGCTGCTGCTCGTCTACCCATTCTACCCATCACCGCTAGATCTCGTGACATACTCACAGCCTACCTACGTAGCAACACAAGCCAGCCTACATACAATACACTTCCGCAACCCCAACCCAAACCCACCAAAAAACCGGGCCCAAGGCGCATACCCACGTTGTACTCTGTACGTCGTAACAGCCTATAACTCAAGCTTGTATTGTATTGTATGTAACCCTGCCACGACTACATACATACAAAGCAGTCATCAGGCAGCAAACCGCCCTCAATCACACCACGCTCCAAAGAACCCAGTCCAGACCCCCCTCACCGCCGCTGCTGTTTACTGAACGCTCGCTTCTTGATACTATACTACGAGTAGAGCTTGAGGCTTGAGGCTTGGCTGGCGAACTACTGCGTACTGCGGCTGCGATGCACGTACTGTACCTACCCTACTTAGAGTGCAGTACGGATTAGAAGCCTACCTACCTACCTACCTATATGCTCGATCGAGCCTGGTCTTACTTACCTAGCAGCTAGGCGGTGGGTCCGTGCTTTGCTGTGCTGTGCTGTGGCTGTGGGTGATGAGTGGTTAGACATCTCATGGTCTACCTAGTTACTTGGACAGAAGCGGGAAGTGTACGCAGGTTGTTTGCGCGTCCGGGCCCGGTTTGCACTCCATCATAAATATATAAGAGGGCCTCGTTGGTCGTACGCATGCATTTCTTCGTTTGCCATTCTTCGTTTGCCTGCAGCAGGCAGACAGACAGACATACGTGCGTGCGTGACCTGGGATACCGGAGTGTAAGGAGAAGAACAAAAGGAAAAGAAAAGAAAAAAGAAGCTGGCTCAGCCATCATCGTGCCGCAGTCACTCCAGTCAGTCCAGTACATGCCGCTCCCTTAACCACCCTCCATCCATCCATCCATCCATCCATCCATCCCACCAAGAAAGAAAAGACGCCCCAGCCCAAGCAAGAACCCAACCCAACCCAACCCAACCGACCGACCGACCCCGCCAAAAACACCACCACCAACTACTTCTTCTTCTTCCCCACCTCCAGATCCCCCGTGCTAGCGAGGTCGCGCCGCCGCCCCTCGAGCGCCTCCTTCCGCCTCGCCAGCTCCTCAACCTGCCTCTCCACGTCCGCTTCCGCGCCCCGCAGCAGCCGCAGCAAGCTCTCCTCCATCTGCCGACTATACGGCATGCTCTCGCTGCCGCGCTCAGGCAGCTCGACCGTCTTGGCCCCCGCACTCCCCGCCATGACCACGCCGGCCGCCTTGCCCCTGCCCTTCCCTCCTCCGGGCCCCGCGCTGCTGCTGCCCCCCTCCCACTGCCGCTCCTCGTCCGTCAGCGCCGCGTACAGCGCCTCCGTCGGCTCGTTGAACTCGACAAAGTCCAGGATCTCCGCTTTGACGAGGTTGGCGGCCTTCATCCGCTCCGCTTGCTCCGGCGCCCCGTACGGCTCTAGGTACAGGTAGTGCGACCGCACCGCGTGCTTCTCGCCCACGTACGGCTGGAAGTACAGCCGTATCTCGACGGTGAAGCCGCCCCAGCCCGTCTCGCGGACTTCGAATGGCGGCGCGGATATCACTGCGGGGAGCGAGCGTTAGCTTCTTTTTTGTAGCCTTTGTGTGTGTGTGTGGAATGTAGTATGTGGGCGGGGTCACGCACTCCTCTTCGCGTTCGGATACGTCTCGTGCAGGCTAAACTGCACCTTGTTCAGCCACAGCCCCATGTCGGGCCCTCCCTCAATGTTCTCGACGTAGACGCGCCACCCCGTCGTGTGGTCGTCCGGGATGCCTGCCGGCCGCTCCTTGTCGTCCAGCTTCCACGCCTCGCTGCCAATGCGGAACGCCCGCGTGATGCGCGCCCCCTTGACGCGCTTCTTGTCCGACGGGCCCGCCATGGCGTACGGGTTGGCGCTGGCAATCGAGTTGGCCGTCGTGCGCCGCGACGACGAGAGCGGTGGCGTCGCTGCCGATGCCGTGCTGTGGCTGTGCCCGTGCGACGCGCGCTTGTTCCGCGGCGGCTGGTGCTGCTCGAGGTGTAGCGGCGCGGGCGCGGCGCGCTTCTTGCCGGCTGCGGTAGTGGCGGTGCCGGTGGTGGTGCTGGTAGTGGTAGTGGTGTTGATCGTGGTGGTGGCGGCAGCACTGCCGGCACTATGCGAGTGCGAATGGTGCGACGACGAGTGCGAGTGCGAGTGAGCGTGTCCGTGTCCGCCGGCTCCTCCGCCTCCGCCTCCTCCTCCGCCGCCGCCGGCTCCTTTGCGCGGGCGCGGGGTGCGGTGGTGGTCGGCCTCGTCGGAGCTGGGGCTGCTCGGCAGGGCGAGCGACGTGTTGCGGTTGTGGGCGCGGCGTTTCTCGTGAGCGGGTTCCCAGACGCCGGGGGCAAAGTCGCCGCGCAGCTCGGCGGGGATCTCGGAGGGGGTGCGGGTGTGGGAGCGCGACTTTTTGTGTTGGTGAGGATGATGATGGGCAGCGGTAGGCGTCGAGGCGGCCGTGTTGGTCGTGTCTTCTACGCCCGTGGTGGTCGAGGTTGGCGGCGGTGGTTGGTCGCTTTGGGGCGGCATGCTTTCTCGATCGTTCCTTGCAGAGCGGGAGGTTCTTTGGTGCTTGGTGCCAGCCAGCCAGCCCAAAGTCGATGAGGTCAAGACTCCGACACGACGACGAAGACAAAACAACAACAGACGAAAGACGATGGCGTCCGCGTCGAAGAAGATCGTGGTGTGTGGAGGCAATGGCTTCCTTGGTACGTGCTGCGGGCCAGCCTGTCGTCGTCCCGCATCCATCTGTGTCTACCTATTCTTCCATCTCGATATATGCTGACAACATGCTTCTTGCTCCTCCACAGGCACCCGCATCTGCAAAGCCGCCGTCGCTCGCGGCTGGTCCGTCACCTCCATCAGGCACGTACATACACACTCTCTCTTACACACACAGAGCTCTGCCCCTCTCACCACAGAGAGCTCTGCCTGCCCCGCACCCCTTTTTCCCTCACCCCACCACCCACCCACAGCTAGCTCTCACCACCACCACTAACCCACCCCCCTCACAGCCGCTCCGGCGCCCCCACCTGGTCCGCCGTCTCCTCCTCGCCCGACCCACCCCCCTGGGCCTCCTCGATAACATGGGCCCGCGCCAACATCCTCGACCCGCCCACCTACGCCGCCCACCTGGCCTCCGCCGACGCCGTCGTCCACACCATGGGCATCCTGCTCGAAGCCGACTACAAGGGCGTCCTGCAAGGCCGTGAGTCCCCGCTCTCGGGGCTCCGCCGCGCTTTCAGCGCCCACAAGGCCGGCAGCGCCACTAACCCGCTCGACAACAACGGCGGCGCTGCAGGAGGAGGGGGCCCGGCTATCGCCCCCGCCGAGAGGGACGGCCAGCTCACGTACGAGCTGATGAACCGGGACTCGGCCATCCTGCTCGCGCGCGAAGCCGCGGCCCAGCACGTCGGCACCTTCGTCTTCCTGTCCGCGGCGGCCGGCGCCCCCGTCCTCCCTGCCCGCTACATCTCGACCAAGCGCGAGGCCGAGGCCACCATCGCCGAAGCGTTCCCGGCCATGCGCTCCGTCTTCGTCCGCGCCCCCTTCATGTGGGACGCCTCGCGCGCCTTCACCGTGCCGCTAGCTGCGGCCACCGGCGCCGCGAGCTTGGTCAACTCGGCCGTAGGCGGCCGCTTGACCTGGCTGATGGGCGCCGGGGGCGTGAAGCCGCTTAAGGCGGACTTGGTTGGCGAGGCTGTCGTCGAGGCTATCGAGAATGGCGTCGCGAAGGGGCCGGTTGAGGTGCCCCAGATCGAGGAGCTGGCTACTAAGCATTGGCGCCGCAATATGCTGTAGGTCTTTATGTATAGGCTGTAGTGTAAGGTATGGCTTGCTTTGTAGGCTGCTAGCTAGATTGATTGATGCTGTATAATGAATGCCATCCATGGTTCTCCGCTCTGCCCGCATCGCTTCCATGCTTGCTTCATTGCACGGGCGCGGACGTGAACGAGATTCAATGCCAGCCAGCAGCTTCGATTCGTGCTATCTACATAGGTAGGTACCGCCAACAAACCAAAAACAAGTGGCTCAGACCCAAGCGTTGTGATCACTGACCGCCACCACCCCTCCGACCCCATGCCCTCTCGGCTCAGAACCAGACCGAGCGGCTTCGAACCAGGGAGGACATGGCCCTCGGGGGCGCTGCGTCTCAGAAGTATCTGTTTTTATTTGGTTTTGTCATCATCGCCACGAAGCCTTCCTGCCCGAGATCTGCCATCTCTCAATCCGAGAAATCGTGCATGGGGAAGGTGGGAGACAAGCTGTCTGGCTGTGGGGGTGGGCATGTGAAGGTGTGAAGTGGGAATGTGGGTGGGGCGGGCAGGACAAGGAAGCTGTCAAAGTGCGAGCTGTTAGAGCGCAACCTGGCAAGGGGAGCGGCGGTCTGCAATCATCAAACAGGGCGCGCGCGCATGTCATAGCAAAGGCGTAGGTAGGTAGCAAATCAACCTGCCTAAAAAAAACCGTCAGTCTCAGTCCAAAACCAGTGAGCTTCAAATGCGAAAGTGACAGTGGGTAGGACAAGACAGCAAGCGGCTCATAGCTCTCTTTAAACGATCAACGACAAAACCCGCGTCCACGGAGAGACCGCACGCCGCCAGCTCAGTCGGCCGGGCTTCTTGCACGCTTCTTGCGCGAGGGAACCGCAGGCCTGTCGAGCCTGCGGGGGGCAGCGCAGTCCAGGAGCGGTGTTCGTCTCAGTTCAAATGTATGTGCTTGGCAGGAATGCGGGCCTGCCAGGCTAATCATCGCCGGGGAAGGGTGGGTAGGGATGCGGTGAGAGTGACTTACTTTCTGGCAGACGGGAGCTTCGCGGTGAAGTGAGGGCTCGACGACGAGCGCGGGGTTGCGCGGCAGCTGGGTAAGCGATGGAAGCTCGTGGGCGGGCGAACAGGAAGCAAAGCCCATTGTGGCACAGTGGGCAGCGCTGGACGAGAGGTGCTGGAGAAGGAAGAAAGTTGGAAGTCGGAGGGGCAGGTGAGTTTCCATATAAAGGGCGACAACAAACGAAAAGCGCGCTAGTGAGGAGCTGACTCATCTGCTGCGCCTGCCCTTCTGTCATGGGAAAGAAATAAGAAAGAAATGGCATGTCCCCGAGGTCTCCAAGGTAAGCCTGGGGCGCGTCTTCCTAGTCTGCCTCACCCCAATGGATTGAAGCGCATGTCTGCACAGACTGAGCACCAGCTTGCAATCTCAGTAAGTTTACCAAACTTCCAATTGGATTCGGAGAAGCGCTGCGAGGCAGTCCATCGGCTTACGGGGCTCAGTTACTTCCTACCTATCTCTTCCACTGGGCCGCCCTTCCACTAGAGGTCAATCCTCGTCAACAGCTTCCGCCCCTCCTTGCCGAGAGGAAGCGTGCCCTTTCCGCGCGGGTTCATCGAGTCGTCTGGCCCCGTCAGCACATAGGTACAATAACGGCTTTTTCGAGGACAGTGCATGCACGTACCCTTGCACGCCGCAAAGCCGTTCGCGCTCTGCCCGTTCTGGGTCGTCACGGAGCAGTACACGGCACTGCTGAAGTCGGCCGCGATGCTCCCCAGGATCACTCGGTCGTTGCCGGCGTGGCCGCCGTCGTACGGCTTGCCGCCTTGCAGGATGGGGTACTCCAGGTACGGCGCTTCGGCGTGCTGGAAGTTGAAGTGTTCGTCTGGTGGGGAAGCGTCAGCGCGGGGCATTAAGTGATCTCGTGCCTGGAGGAGCCCATACAGTCATTCCATGCGTGAGGGAACTTTTCATCTCCTTTCTTCTGTCAGCGCCCTATCTACTTTTCGTTGCTCGTTCAAAGTACCCAAGGTCTTTCCCGCCTTTGCCATCCTCAGCGCCTCGGAGGCTGCGACGTTGATGTCGCTCTGTGAGTAGTCGGTACCATCGCAGTTGCAGACGGTGGGCTCGTAGTATATGGTAGCTCCAGACATGTTGATCAGCGCTACTGCCGTGGTAAGTCTCCGGCGTGGTTTCAGTGAATCGTTCGGGCTGGCTGTCTGCGGAAAAAAAGCCCGCTGATGACATCTTTATGTAGGCGCGGGGCAGCCCTGTCGACCTGATACGAGCGCTCCCATTTGATATGTAAACTTGATTGAGATGCGCGCCTGGTTGGCCGTGCTCTTGGATATCGCTGCGGTTGACGTAGGCTCGCTCGGCTCCGTCTCGTCTTGTCAGGATCTTCGCCCAAGCTCGCGAGCGGCGCGCGGACCAACATCCATCGTCTTCGGCGCCTCCCGCAGTACCACGATCCTCAACGTGCTTGTCCACGTGGAAAGCAAGCCGTGGCAATATAAAAAGCTCCGTGGTACCGGCTGATATGTACATAGGTACCACCCATTATCTCACCATGTCCGAATCTCTTCCATGCCGAGGTCTCCCTGCTCTCTCCAGTCAACCGTACTTCCAGATTTACAACCTTGCTCGCACTGACTGTAGCCCGCCGCCCTCATTAAGACGTCACCTTCGACTTCAGCAATAGCTACCGTATCATGATAAGCACAGCAGAACCGCTTCGTGTACGCCTTCTCCGCGTCCGTAGAGCTGCCATACTCGAGCTTGCACTCTCCTGGAATCCGCTCGAGCACGTACGACAAGAGATTCGTCCATTTGCCTACAGTCGCCGCCCAATGCGGCCGCTCAACGACAGCCATACGTAGCCTCTGCAGCCGCACCATCCCTTGGAACGGCCGAAAATCCGTCTGAGTGTAGTCGAAGTCCACGGAGATGCTCGTGTCCAGCACGACGAACACGCTGCGCAGGCGCGCCAGAGCATACGGAGGCAGCTGCAAGGAGCCTATGGCCGGAGACGCCGACCTATAGCACTATTCTACGGGTCAGCGAGCGCTCGTCATGGCGGCCGGCGTGAGCACTACATCGGCGTGCACCAGGACCGTGTTCGCTTGGTATAGGACATCATGTGCTTCTTGGTGGATCTGGCGGCATGTTCGCAGGAGGCTCAGCCCCAGGTTATGCGGGTGCCGGTTCGAGTGGAACGAGTAGTAGATCCGGATTGCGTTGTCTGGCGCTGTCAAGGCGCATTCGTAGACTCGCATGCGAAGCTCCGCGGGGAGATCGAGCAGGCGGAAATAGGCCGAAGTCTCGGAATCGGCGTCTGCCATTTCCCTAAGATCCTGTCAGGGAACAGCTTCGGTGGAGCATCTACCTATGCCCCTCATCGCCAGGCGTGTGTCGGGTCGTGGGTGTGCGGAGAGAGTGTCGCGAGTCATATTTGGCCAGGGCATGGAGCTTCATGACGTCCTGCCAGCTGGGAAAAAAGACGCAACGCAACCTTGACGCTCCGTTGTCGTAACTCTTTGTTCCACCGCTCCTTCATCCCGACTCATATTAAATGCAGTCTCGTCCTCGGCTTGCACGAGCCGATCCGTCTGATCTTATACCCTCCACTATGGTGTCCAGAACTGGCTGGGTTCGCGGTCTTCACCCCCGCATGTTTCATGCTTTCCCGTCTCCGACAAGGATAAGGCTCCGCCTAAACGGAGTGCCTTCAATAAATTTCGAGAGGCCTTTTACCGCCGTTATTGAATATAAGGGTTCCTTGTCCTTACGGTCCTTAAATATGAGCAAAGGGATCCTTGCTCGTAACCTTGGGGCTGCTGCAGGTCCCTTGTCTTGTGGTAACTGAACATGCCGCAGGGATTCCAATTGTCACATCAAACTCACGAGGTACGTGCCGATAGTTGATCATTTCATTATCATTCAATATTCACTCTACGAAAGGGGTTTCTTGCAAACATTAGGCAAGCCTCATTCTCGTTTACCATGGCTCTGCTTCGAACTACGCATTCTCAACCTCCACAACACCGTTGCCCTCGTCCAGCGCGATTTTCTTCTTCTCCAGGGACGCCTTGACGGGATTAGGAGCGTGGAAGATGTCGTCGAGTTCCTCGAGCTATATATGCGTTAGAGCTGCGCTTGGAATTCAGTGACAGTAAACTTACAGTCCGGTTCTTTGTCTCAGGGATGAGGAAGTAAATAACGATTGTTTGGAACACATCCCAGACTGCGAAGATGATGTAGGTCTTCCAATGGATCTTCTTCAGGGAGACGGGCCAGGCGTAGTTATTCAAAAGCATGGCTACGCAGGGTCAGCGGCGCATAGGAGACGGCAAAAACGCGAAGCCATGAACTTACCCAGGTTCATCACGAATGAAGACAGGGCCATGCCTTTGGCGCGCTGCTCGAAAGAAAGAACCTCGACAGGCAGGAGTTGTTGAAGAGGCGTGAAACCGAAGGCGAAGATGATGTTGAAAAGGAAGATAAACGCGATAGCAGCTTGTCCGGCATTGGTGTTGGTTTTGTCGCCGGCCAGGATGGCTGTCGAAGCTGTTATGCAGACCCAGCAGATGGCCATTCCGATGTTTGCGAAGAGAAGCAGAGGACGGCGCCCAAAGAAATCGACTGTGCGCGCACCAACCAAAGCGGACACAAACTGGACGCAGTTGAGAATCAGGTTGATGTTCTTCTGCTCAACCTCTTTTGTGTATCCGGCCGTCTCGAGAGCGCCACCGAGGTAGTACGACAGAACAGCTGCAGAGATCAGTAATGAAAAAAGTAAAGGTGCAGGGTCGGCCTACCATTTCCAGCCCACTGTCCAAAAACCACGACAACCAAGTTGCAGCAAACACGGTAGATAGAAGGCCTGTCGCGGAACAGCGCACGGTAATCCCACCAACGCTTGTCGGCACCGTTCATCTCAAGGTATTCTTCGTACTCCTGTAGCTGCAGAGTCACCCAGACACTGTTGGCGTTGCCATGGCCGTGCCAGTACGTCAACATGTTTCGGCACTTGTCACGCTTGCCGCGCGTGTACAGCCATCGGGGCGATTCGGGGAGGATCCACGCGAAAATGAAAACAATGCCCGAGAAAAGCAGCTGAAGCCACGTTATGATGAGCCAGCTGTTGTGGCCGCGCAGGTTCATGGTACCACGAGCTGCGCCGCTGGCAAGGATGGACCCGGTAAACCTGCGTCGAGCTTAGCGGCGCCACTTCATCCATGCAGAAAGACACACCGACTTACCAGAAGGTGTTGTACCACGCCGTCATGATGCCACGATGGGCGGGGTGCGCCATTTCCATGACCAAGATCGGGCCTCCGGCGCTCACGAAACTGACGCCAAATCCAAGAACGAACCGACCACCCATGAATTGACCCCGACTCGCGTTGTTGACGGTCATGGCCTGGATGATCGTGCCGATGATGATGAGGGTGGCTCCCGTGAACATGCCTCCCCTCCGACCGAACTGGTCGAGCGCAGGCCCGACGAAAGGCAGAGCAACCACGCCGCCAATGGTGTACATGTTGGCCACGATACCGGACCATAGCCCCACGTTCTCGATGTGGAAGAAGTGCTTGAAGTCCTCCGTTTGCAGGTACGAATTCATCAACGAGCCGTCGAAACCGTTGGCAGTCGAACACAGGAAACAGACGATGCAGGCCAGGTAGAGGCACAGAGACCGGATTGCCCACGGCTTAGGAGGCTCTTTGAGTAGAGCCTCCTGGAATGCCGCCGTTCCAGAGATCACTTTGACCTCCTTGGTGGCATTGAGCTATCGCGCTCGTCAGCAGTCTATCACGACATTGCAGAGGCGGGGTAAGTCTTACCGATTCTTCGCGTTGTAGGACGTTGTCTTTCTCCATAATGGAAGTTTGGCTGGAGTAACTTGCGGGGCAGTGGGTGGGGCTGCTCCCGCAGGTTTATATAACACCAGCACGAAGACTTCCATTGCCACCAGACGCCCCGGCGGACGCACACCCTCCGCTGCGCCGTATGCTTGGAGGGGCCCAGCTCCGGCTCCAATATGGCCTTCCCTGCAGCCACGTTCTGCCGACGAAAAGACTCGTGCCAGGTGTGATTAGGGATGGTCTGCAGCGAGGATGGCGAGGCGAGAGGCGGCGGCGATTGGTCGAGGCTGCGGCGCATGTCCCGCGCTTGTGCTTGCGCCGCATTTGCGAAACCTCTCCGCTACCCCAGACGATCAGCTTAGCGTTGTCTGGGCCGTTCCCTGCATGCTCGCTGCAGTGGGGGACGCGGAGAACCCCAGTCCGACTATAATGCCGTGGCCCGTGCGCGCCGCTGCCTTTCTCGTGTCAGATGGCTGGAGCCCGGCATTGCGGCCAGCTTTTCCGCCGCCTCAGCCTTTCACACAATCCCTTCTTGCGCGCCGCACAATCGTCAGGTCGAAGGATTTATTGGGCAGTCTTGCCCATCCCCTTTGGGCTGGCCAACGGTTGCCATCTGCCCGCCTGATTCGCCCTCGACGACACTTTGGCTTTCTGGAACGCCCTGGGCGGGAGATCTTTGCAGCACATGATTCTGCCAGGCACGCCAGATCAGGTCCTCCGGCGGATTATCAACGATAGGTCACAGTGGCTTAAGCCCCCCAAGAGCATTCAACCTCATGCCAGGAGCCTCTCTCCTCCAAGAATGTTTTTCCGCCACGTTGAGGCTGCGGCGTGGGTCCAGTTCTCCGGACTGAAATCCTCTTTTCTCTCTTGTGGCGCTGGTGGAAGTCGAGCACACGCGACACGCCTCTTCGCAACCCATTGTATTGTGGAGTCTCCGAGAGGTTTCGAAGAAAACGTGTCCACCTGACAATAGTCAAAGCAGCTCGACTCGTTTCCGCGGCGAAAACAGCACGTTTCCTCGGCAGCTTCCGCTCGTTGGATCTCGACCTGGGGAGCAACCCACCTCGCGTATCGTGAAATGAAGCACGGGTAAACGCGCTCACGCCACCGTCACGACGACTTGTTCATGCTCGCGACTCTCACCCTGGATTCTACTGTGCCACACGATCAGCATACCCCTCAGCAGCGCCAACAGAGATCTATGGCTGCCTATCACTCATCGATTTCTTTCGCCTCACGAGCCTTGTCTGCTCTCGTTGCTGCTGACCTGCTTTGCTCGAGCTTGTTGCCCTTTTGAGCATCTGCCCGATCCCTGCGCCGCGCCGCCGCCTGGCTGGCGGGTGCCTTGGCGCTTCTGTGTGCTCCCGCTCTGCGCTGGACAGGCTAAACACGGCTTTGGGGCGTTTAGTTTCCTGAGGTCGTGCCACTCGTGTTGGGCTTTGCGGAGCTGGGCTTTCGTGGAGGCAACACATCTCTCACTCTGTTCCTACAGTTCTTTGGTTGAGTATGCCAGGTCATGCTTATGTCGGTTCAGCGCTGGCAGTGACTGACTGACTGCCTTGCGGATTTACGCTGAGCTCTTCTTAGAAAGTTGCAGTGGAACGAGTTCTGGTATTCGATTACTCAAAACTGTTTCCTTATATGCACTATTTATGCTCCAGAGACACACGAAAGGTCCTTCAGACAGTTTTCAAGCTCGCAGACTACAAGCTGGTAAAACGCTCCTTGCAACGAAACTTGTTTCAAGTCTTGCTCATCGACGCCAAAGTCGCACCTGATACACCGAGACACTATCTTTCCATACCGCTGCCCGAGCGCCCTGCTCGCTTCGTTTTGTTTGTCGAGCTGGAGCACCTCGATGAATTCGGCGAATTCTTCGCCATGGACATCCCGCAATGGCGAGGTGGAAGTTGATGGCTTGCAACCCGCAAGCTCGAGCATAAGGACGCCTAAGGAGTAGATTTGGTAGTTCCGAACGCAGCTGGATACACTCGTATTGGCACCTGTCTGGAATGTTGCTCCAGGTTTTCGATGGCTAGCTGTTAAGTAGGGAGTCGATGCATGCTCAGCACCAGAGATCTTGGTGTCCACAAAACGGATGTGTTCGCTTGCCCACTGTTGTTGTTCTTCCAGCCATGGAGAACTGCACAGACGAAGAAGAGACAATGACAGGACGTAAGCAAGCCTCAGACTCTGGTAAGGATATCTGAGGAGCCTTGTAAAATGACTGTCGGCGCTACTGTCTACCAAGACCTGCGCTAACGACAAGGAGATTTCTTCGAAATGACTTTCGCAGCTGGAGATATGGACTCCGTATGGACCAGATGGGTACAGGCGGTGATCTGGAAAACGTCGGTTACATTCCTGTACCATTTTTGCTGACCAACCAAAAGCCTGTAAGCTGGAGCAGATGCCATCTTTACTTTGTCGAAGATTGCCAGTAGACGGGGTGTTTCCATTCAACTGCACTGACTGCTCTTGGTGTCCAGGTTTGAGGGACGCGTACCAACAACTTGAAAGCGGCCCGGCGTGGAAAACTACATTGCACTCCCGAGAAGTTTTTCTCAAGCTCGCTGCTGATTCTTCAGTTTTTCCATACTGCAAGGCTAGCTCCACATCATGTCCCGTGCAGCTGCATTTCGCCCATGTCGTTGACAGTGCGGTGTAAATCTGGGAATAGCCATCTCTTATATCCTTTGCATCTTCAATCGGCGGCCCAGGCAGATGTGGCAGCTTCTGCGCGTACTTTCGTTCGCGAACAATTGCCTGTACGAAGCCTTCCAGATCTTGGTTTGCCGCCTTAGTCTCGTCGAGAAGAGCTTCCACCCTGCTTTTACCATGTAAAGCCCATTTCGCAAGTGGTATAACATCATTTCGCGATTTGAAATGGCTCTGGGGTGCATCCTATGTAGGGAGGCATTGCTAAAATTAGCACCAGATAATCTGTGGTAATTCTTTGGCTTGAGCAGCGCTTACGGTATCCAGACCAAAAGCTCGCATGGCAGTCAAAATATCGTCCAAAGTCCGTCGTATCACCATAATGTTCCTCTTCACGGCGTCACACAGATTCAAGTCACTGTCGAGAGCGTTGCCCAGCATCCGTTTGGTATTCTCGTCGGACCACTCCTGATGTAGTGGATCATTGAGCATGGCGCTCACGGTTTCGCTGTTAACCTATGGCACGAACAATCTTCTGACAGAAAATTTGAAGATGTCGGCTTGATTGGCGAATTTCAGACGGATTTTGATGCTCTGCACCCCAAACTGTCGGTAGTTCTTGAAAAAAGTGCTAAGCTCGCTGTAGGACTTCAATGCAATGGGTATGACGCCCAAGACAAGCCCAGCAACCTCGATTCCGGACATGGCGGTGGAAGTGCAGAGGTCTCGCAAGGGTGGTCATCGCAAGGCTGAAGATGCATCCGGCGCTTACTTATCAGCACCGGGAGCTACAGCTGAAGCGGGGTCAAGCCGAAAATCGCTGCAAGCATTTGCTCGACTTAACGTTGAGTGTTGCTGAATTCCTTTTAAAAATTTCCACATGGCCGAATTCCGCGTTGCAGCCCGGTCTACGAGTGGTATCTCAAGAGCGATCAAGAATGCTATCGAAACATTTGAGCTGCACTTTCAGGATGGTGGCACAAAGGACACATATCATCGAAACGCCCAACGTTTTGTCCTTTGGGCTTCTGATTATGGGAGTTCAGGAGGGGTTCTCGACAATCTTTTCGAACATGAGCCCGAGCTCAGCCACGCAATAGCATCATTGCTTATCAGCCTTGGCCAGTTCGTCCTGAACATATGTAAGAGAGGTCTTTTAGTCTCCAGTATTGCCAAGATGCTGATGCACCAGATGTTTTTAGTTATCACATCTAGAATTGAACGCATAGATGTGGCCGCTGCACCATCCAATGATCCAAACTTTCCCCTGCTTCCAGACCAAAACCTCAATTATTTCCAAGATCGGAGTGTTCAGAAAGTACTACAGTACAAGAGAGATCGTGCCAGGGTCATGATCCTTGAGGACTTGAGATGCAATCTCCTCGAAGTTTTGCGGGCCTGGCCCGACTGCACAGATTTGGCGTATGATAAGGAACTACTAACACAAATCGTTGATCTCGGACCTTCAACAATTCAACAGCAGTGCTTCGAGAAAAAGGTACCGGTTCTCGTCGATGAAAGAGAAACGGAAGAGGACCTTATCGGGTTTGAATTCACAGTCGACTATTTATACGATCTCGTACCATCACTTCAACATCTTCGAGCTCCGGAAAAGCCGAGCAGAACACCAAGAATTGGCATCCCTAAAAGAACAGAAATAAACGATGTCTTCGAAAAATTTCCCGATGTTCCAAGCGAACTCATTTTTCTTTTATTTCAAAAACAGCAAGCACGAATCATCAAGTTTGCCGCGAGATGGTACATATTAACTGAAAGCGACGAACAAGGCTTTCAATGTCAAAAAGAGCTTGCAAGCGATGTTGATGACGAAGAGCTTAACTTTCCGGAAGAATTCCCCGCGAATCCGGATACAAAACGTGATGGAAGCAGGGTTGTTTGCAACATATGTCAAAAGGACATCAAAGTTTCAAACGACCAAGAGTGGAAGTATGGAACCACGTCTTAGACAAAGTCCAAACGCTGATCGTATTGCAGACTCCACGTAATCAGAGATATCCGGCCTTACGTCTGTCACAAGTCTGCAGAGAGAATCCTCCAACTTTCTCTTCCTTCACGGAGTTTCGAAACCATGCTACAAACCATTGCATGGTCAAGACATGGCCGTGCAAACTCGGCTGTGACCTGACATTCGACACAGCCGCACTGGCTAAGAAGCATTTCCGCGATGTTCACGACATTGTCAAAGACTCGAGCTGTGCAAACCTAGCCGAACTATGGCAAGAAAATATGCCCCCGGAAACCAACTCTAGTAGTTGCCCATTTTGTAAATCTAATGATCTCGAGCAACATCAGGAGTTTTTACGGCATATTGGCTTTCATATGATCGAAATAGCATTGGAATGTTTGCCGGGGAAGGGATCTGATACAGTGGGTTCGAGCATTGGAGAGCCTTATGAAGACAGGCGGATTCTTGACAACGATCCGAGTACAAACAGGGAGACAGAGCGCACGGCTTTACCAGAGGAGAAGGGCTTGCAATAGTGTAAAATGCATTTGGGCCGCGAAGGAGTTCCAGTACACCTATAAACACCTTCTGCTTTCAGTGCCCAAGAAGTCTGTTATCGTGTAAGCTTCCACATCTAGACAAGGACACTTGGAATTCGCAAAGGATAACCTAATGAAGTTCGTCGAGGTTCTTAATCCTAACGAATGCTGACACCCAACACCTCTGTCCTAGCACGGGCAACAATTTCGAAACATGTTCACCGCCGCCGACATAGCACGAGCCGAAAAAGAAGCCTTCTCCACAACAACGCTTACCTAACGGCATTTGAGAGGGCCGCAAATGTCGCTATATATGGACCTTAGCATATAAAGATCTACTATGGAATCCTCATGAGCTGTTTCAACTGGATATAGTGAGGTCCAATCACCCCCCGGACCCTTCGTGCAGACCTCGTCTAGGACAGATCGGGCAGCTCACCGACTGGCTATTCCAGCTACCAGGCTTGGAAACTTCAGCTTTGGAACCTTTCAAAGTACAGCAGTTCTTTGGTTTGTCACGCAAATTTGTCTTGTATATTCAAAAACTATAACTTATGAAGAAGCGCTGAGCACCAAACCGTCAGTGAATCTTCAGAGTTGTCTTCTCGTACGAAGTCAATCCACTTCCTCATCGAAGTATGTGAATAAATTCCGCCCAGGGCCTTCAGACGGCCCGCTGCGAAAACATGAACATGTGGTTGAGAAGAGGATAATATTATTGACCATCTTCTGGCGATACAAGCCATGAGCCACACCTCCAAAATGATTATAACCCCTAAGCACGAATTTCGTCCCAGCCTTTCAATGCAGCACAACTATTATCTGGCGTCATGCAGCAAATGTTCCGCTAAGGTCTAGACATTTCAGTCATGAAAAAAAGCGGATACAAACAAGACAATTCGATCATGACACATTATTGTATATAATGCGGGCTCCAAAGTTGTGTTGCTACGTCAAGGATGTACTAAGTATTGGGACAAAATTCTAGACTTTTGTGGGGCTTATCTTACCCTGTAGCACATCCTATAGTATGGGACTATAAGATTTCTCCTGACACAATCATCTTCCTGGTCGTATATCGTCTCTCCCGGCGGAGCTTGTGAAACAATGCACAGGATCAGCTCTTGCGCGACGGATTGGCATGCATGCCTCGTACTTGGCTAATAAGCTTCTCATTCCTGGTGATCCCTTTGACTACGTTGGACTTATTCCCAGACGTTTTTAAGAGCGGAAATCCAAACTTGCAAGGCACAACTCCTTCAACTTCACATATCAAATAAAGAGCGACTTTTAAATATTAAGGTGCGATAGTGGTTTCATTGCGTCACTCATAGCTAATTACAATTAATCGTTCCTTTTTTAAACGTCCTGGTAGACCAGACATTCAGCACCTTTGCTGCACTTGCAGCGTATTTACTGGCCCTGCTGGGTGTAGAGGCAAGAGATGGGCTCAGTGGTTTCCTGGACGTGGGCATCGATGCTAGTGCAGTCCTCGTAGCCGGGAGCAGGGTGGACGATGTCGAGCCAGAGGACGTATCCGTCGTCACCGGCTTTGCAGGCCTGGAAGCCGGTGCCGTCAAATTGGAGCTTGCCTTCGGCAATAGAGAAGCCGGTCTTCTCGCCGTTCTTGGAGGTAGGCTGAGCACCGGTAGTGTACTGAACTACGCCCTGGCCTTGTGGGTAATGTTAGGACCTGAGGAAGAAGAGAAATTGTAGATAGACTTACCCTTGCCTCGGTCGACGTATACCTGCTGGGGAGTGGCAGACTGGCGGTAAAGGTAGAGACCACCGTTGTCAAGGTAGAAGGTAGCGAAGTTGGTGTCCTTGTCGCACGTGGCGCCCTGGTCCTTCTTGCCGATGAAAAGGCTTTCCTGGGCGGCCTGGAAGCTCAGGTTCTGGACCTCAGAGCCAGATTGGATGGCGACCAAGCCGAAGTACTTGGGGGCGGCATCGGCAGCGGCGGCAGCACCAGCGGTGGCGGCGGCGAGAGCAAGAGTCTTGAACTGCATTTTGAACGTTGGAGTGGTGATCGAAGAGGAGTCGGAAGAGTTGTTGTTGTTATTGTTGTTGTAGATGTGAGAATTGGTGATGATGAGAAGAAAGGCGAGGTGCTGGCTCTGTTATATAGCTGCTTGCCCTTGCAGTGGCATCTTAGCTACCATAGACTCGGACGTTTTGGGCGACAACGTCATAGCGTTCTATAGCTGGCCAGATAGCGAACGGATCTTCATGCGTCCAGGTAGTATACGAGCTCGTATACTCCCACCCCCTACGGAGTACTGACGCATGTTAGACGAGCCGTTCCCTGTCGCAAGTCGACGATCTGAGGCAGCCACGACGGTAGGGTTATGCATCAAACCGGCAGACAAAGTGTAAATAGGCGAAGGTGTGAAGACCGGCAGACAAGTTGTAAATACGCGAGGGTGTGAAGAGCGGAATGCCGGGGGTGTAAAGAAAGCAGTGAAGCAGTGAGTAGTGATGTGATTGTTCCGCATCCAGGATGATGTGTCGGTTCGAGAAAGCAGCTCCAAGGCTCCACAGGTTCAAGCCATTCCCGTCACCCCACACGCCTGCCCCGCCGTTTGCTTCTATTTAAAAAACCTTAATCTATCGTTGACGTTGTGCAACCTCTTAAAGGCAAACCGGTTTCTACAATATTGCTTGCTTCCGAGCCGCCTCGCTTTCCGGCCAAGCTGCTGCCAGTTGAACGCAAAGTAGAGAGCATCACCGGGCGTGCCGAACACGTAGCAGAAGATGACTTAGCGTCCCACCGTCATTCGAGAACGTGGTGTTGTTGCGGAGCGTGCAGAGCGTGCGGAGTCCCGGAGCTCGGTTGTGGACCGGGCACAGTCACGTGATGGTTCAGCCAATCGGCGCGCGACAGCGACGCGCCCGCCCTTCCTCACGTCGCAACCTCACGTCCACGTTCATCACCACCCACCGGTCCACCACCACCACTGTCATCGCTCTCCATCGTGACTGCTCGTACAACGCGTTCTCGCGCCAGACTGTCCCAACTGCGTGGCGGCGCTCCCGGGGAGCTTCGACCTTTCGTGACTGCTGTCCCAGTTGTGTGGCGGGCTCGTGTGCGAGGACTACCGTCGTGTCGCTGCATCTGCATCTCCACATAGTCGAGTCAAGGCTACTCTCGCTTCAAAGCCTGGGCGGGTGGGCATCTCACGCCAGAAGAGGCGCTGAGGGCACCGGTTTCCTTTTTGTGCTTGTTTTGCCGCTGCTGCTACCTACTAACCGTTTCTTAGCATGGATCTCGCCGACGCCATACTGCAGCCTGTCGATGCTGCGCTGAACTGGCTCGTCATCGAGCGCGTCCTGGCAGAATGGAATGATCCGGCCACGAGCGACCGTCGATATCTCGGGACGCTGTCCAGCGTCAATGGCGCGGCCAATTTCACATTGGCTATCGGTTACGGCGCGACAACCCGCCAACTCTTTATCAGCCTGCACCTTCCAATCAAATTGCGCGCTTCGACATCCTCCAAACTGAAGCACATGTATTATGTTGTTCCGGTCGAGGCATTAGGTTCGAAGGGCTCTCAGCCTGCCTTGTTTGTCGACGTCAGCCGCACTGAGGATGTTCCTGAACAAACGCTGCCGGAGCTGAGAAAAGCCGGGTTAGTCGAGAATGGGTCGAAGCGAATAATTCGGATAGGATTCAGACTCAAGGAGCGTGGTTATGTCATCATGCCGCAAGGGAGTTTGTCAAGGCCTCCGCAAGGCACTCCCCTTCGTCTGCTCCAAAACCTACGGTCGCTTTCCGAGCAGGCTGCAGCTTTTGATCTCTATCTGAAGTACAACGACTACGACTACGTCGAGCTTTGCCGAGTCTGCGAAAACGTGTCCAAAATACATCTTACCACACCCGCGCTCGACGTCAAGTCTTTGTTCAAAGGATTGGGTGCTGTCAATGTCTGGGAACAGTATGCAATGCCTTCTGAAACCAGGGACAAGTATCCAACGAAATTACATTTCGCCGACCGCGAGACATCTCCTCCACCGCAGTATGATCGGGTTACTCCGTCTCCGTCGCCCTTGGTGCTCGTTCCTGCTAGCAGCTTGGGGTCGTCTCCAAAACAGCCGTCGGTAGATCGCCCGCAACATGGGCTGTCTGTCATTCCAGAGACTCCTGAGGCTTATATGCCAGCCTCGGCCCAAGCTAGCAGGAAGCGGAAGGCCACCAGCCCGCTCTCCGGAGGGTTCAAGGCTCACGACCATGATGATCAACTTGAGGATGCTCATTCTTCCCAACAAGATCTGTATGGGATGTCATCTGCTCCATCAGTGGGGATCACTGCTGGACAAGCATCTCCGTGTGAAACGCCATCACAACGCCTTCTCCAACAGCATGAAAATGCTCAACCTGATACCGTGACCCAAAACGACGTTGACCCCGCTCTCTTTGCTGATATGGTCCAGTGGCTCGAGTGGGCGTGGTCTGCTTTGCCATCAGCCCACCTGCATCTGCAGGCAGAGCTTTTAGCCCTTGGTGCCGCCGTCTGCAACGTCAATGCCGAAGCGTTCGCCGACCAGCGAGCAGTCTGTATGGCCAAACTGCTTTTCCTCGTCACTGATGCCAACCGCGTGACCGGTGAAACTGAAGACGAGCACCCGCCCGACTTCGAGCTTGAGGTTAGAGACGTAGTTCGCTGGATGAACCAAATCTACCGCGCTGCCGACATCGTCATTGCGCGCGACTTGATGCAGTTAGCGGAGGTAGCGCAGGGGGCAGCGGCGAACGATGAGCAGCGGCGGAAGGCGTTTCGGACGCAAAAAGCAGTGTGCGTCGCGCGCGTGTGTATGTGTTTTGGAAAGGCGGGGTGAGCTGAGCTGAGGGTTGGTAAGTGGTGGTGCGCTGGTATGGATAGTTAAAATGGATTTATGTGGAAGGAGATGGGTGATTACGGAAATTTGTCATTAACATATTTTGAATAGCGTTATACCTTGATATATACAATTGAACTTCAAGCTACTTCTTCAGTCAGTAGGCTGGAACAAATGCATTTACTCGTCCAGACATCCAAGTCTGCGGAAAAGCTGGCAATTCTCAGTCCACAATAACGCTATCCAGTGCCCACCACCCACTCCCACACCGTACCGGCCCGCAGGTCCGTCTCATGTAGGTATGTAGTAAGCGTGAAGAAAGCTATGACACTTCCAAAGCCTCTCCTTCGACCGAATCCACGCGCTTCTGTCTAGTTATCGCTAGAGACCAGCCACGGACTCAAGCTCAAACCTAAAAATAAGCTCAAGCTCATCATGGTCATAGAGGCGAGTGCTAGAGAGGCTGTGCTTGATTTGTGCTCGGGAGCCCCTGACGGAAGCAGATACGAGATACCCCACGCGGCGACGCAGGCGTGTTTGATTGGGTAGGGTATGTTTTCTTGGTCCTGCGTACCACGTACGTAGGGGCTTAGGGAGGCTCTGGGCCTGGCGCGAGCTTGGACGATAGGATGAGTGGAGCGCGAATGCGGGTGCGGTTGCCGCGTTAGTGTCGTGATGGCCTTCCTATTTTGCCTACAGAAATCTTCAAGACAGTTGAAGAGGGAGGTGGTAGGCTGATGAACCGAGGATCATAGACGTGTGTTGTCGCTGGTCGAACAGCGTGTAGCAACACAGCGTGAGGGACTGTGCGCGCCCTGGAGGTGGGTAGTGGCGAGAGTTTGGCGTTCGGTGTTGTCAGTCTGGCCGTTGTTTCTTACCTACCTCTACGTACAACGTGGCAGTCGTAGGGCTCCCAGCAGTGCACCGGTTATGTGTGTTGTGGTAGCGGGCTGCCCATGTAGAGGAGACATGGCGGAACAATATCCTACGTGCGTTTCGTTTCATGATGTTGAAACGGTACGGCTGTTCGGAACTGGGGTTGTTTCCGGATGGAATACGGATGTCCGCAACAGGAATGTAGTTGAGTTACTTGGACATGGGGTTTTCCGATGTTTGATGAGATTCCGGGATGCCGGGTAGGTGCCGTGTGATTCTTGTCCAGGCTCTTGAAATCTCTGTCGCTGCATTCTCAACCGAAACAACAATGCCAACCATCTGCGCTACTCAATTCAAGAACAGGAAAATTATAAGATGGTACTATGTACATCATTCCGTAGTGACTTTGCTGGAGCAGTCAGGTGGCGTTACGAGGAAGAATTGATGGCCGGAGTGGCGTCCCCGGATCCGCAGCTAGTGTCCGGCGGCCCGCAGGACAGTAAGCCATACAACGTGCTGTGCCTGCCTAACCTCCTGCCGCATTGCGATTTTCGCCCTTTGTCGATACTTTAATCTCCGTCGTCTGCAGATTCAAGCCGTTTGTAATGGAAAGCCCTGGTCATGACAGGGGGTTTCGCACGACAAACGGGACGCCTCGTTTGGCCTCTCAGCATGTCTTCCCGTTGGTGGGATTCTTTAAAGCCTCATGTACCGGATTAATATGTTTCGTATCCACTCGTCATGCGGGGTTTGTTTAAGCGAAGCAGATCTACACGGCCTCTCACGATGCTACAGGCACGCCCAGTATTTAAGCAGGCCGCTGCTGGTGGTTATCCAGATCTCAGGTTGCTCACGTCGAACCTGACCAATCATGAGGGTCAGCTATCTGCAAACCATTCTGGTCAGCCTCGCCTGCCGAGTCTCGGCTCAAGCCGAGTTCTCCACCACAAACTTCAAGGGAGCCTTGGCAGACGGCTCGCAAGTTCTCGAGTCACTTCGACCTGCTTCGAACCCGGACTTCGACTTCTCGCCTTCGGATGTCTTCTCGCTTCGAAATTCCGAAGGGAACTATCATACCGGTGACCTGACTTTCCGCTATCGTGTTGGCAGCCAGGCGTGGCAGGATGGGAACACCGCCGCGAGTCGAACCCCGGTCGAGAAGATCAACGCCCAGGATGTTATCGCCGCGGCAAATTTGAATCCCGTCCTCAGTGAACCGAGTTCCACCCTGGACACCACACGGGAGTGGATCGATGTTGACGGTGATCTTGGTCTCCGATTCACTCTCAGCAATGTCGCGAACGACGATGTGGAAATTGGCAGTCTGGGATTTCCCATTGAGTTCAACAACATCTTCACGAACCGCTCCGCCGTGGATACGCGAGAGAAGTGCGTTCTCCTGGATCCTTACATTGGCCTCCACTCAGGATATGTTCAAGCCACGCGCCTTTCGGGGACTGGTCCCGCTCTTGTCGTCACGCCATTGACTGACCAGACCAAGTTTGAAGCCTGGCGATTCCTCCCGGAGGAGTACGGCTTCGTATACTACCAATCGCAAACTTATGAAGGGAACTACGAGTGGCAGGTTTACACCAAAGCATGGGCAGAGAACGAGTGGAGCGGCGTCGATCCATGGAACGAGCCGACTTCTGTTACACTGAAGTCTGGAGAGAACATCACGGTCGGGCTGCGATTCTCTTTGGCACCATCAATCCCAGAAATCGAAGACACTGTCATTGGCGTCGATCAGCCTGTGGCCGTTGGCATACCCGGCTATGTTTTGCCCACCGATGTGGTCGGAAAGCTCTTCCTGCACACCAACTGGACTGTGTCGTCTCTCACCACGACCCCTGCCGACGCTTTTGAGATCAGCGAGCCTCGTTCCCTTGACGGCGCGGCTGAATACAGTCTTACCCCGTCGAAGAGTGCCTGGGGCCGAGTGAGACTGGACATCAAGTACGAGAACGGAAAGACGCAGACCGTCCATTACCGCATAACTAAACCTGCTCCCGAAGTTATTAAGGACTTGGGTAACTTTTTGACCACGAAGCAACTGTTCGAAGACGAATCAGATCCGTTCGGACGTGCCCACTCGATCATTACGTACGATCGTTCTGTAGATGAAATCGTCACCCAGGACGCTAGAGTATGGATGGCCGGGATTAGTGACGAAGGAGGTGCCGGTTCTTGGCTTGCTGCCGCTATGAAGCAGTCAGAACAACCTTCAAAGTCCGAAATCAGCACTCTTGAGACTTTCGTCTCAGAAGTCGTCAATGGCACATTGCAGGTCTCTGATTACGGCGTCCGCAAGAGTGTATTCTTCTACGACCCCGAGCAGATCGACTACGCCTACAGCTCTGATATCGATTGGACCAGCTGGACATCTTGGAACAAGGAAGCAGCCTACGCAGTTGATAGAGCATACGACTATGTCCACGTCACAGCGCTATATTGGTCGTTGTATCGTGCTGGTCGGGCGTATCCGGAACTCTTGACGCAGCAAAACGCCACGTACTACTTGCTCCAAGCGTACCACACCGTCACCTACATGGCCGAGGCAAATGGAGTCGGATACCGGGATGTTGGTCTTATGGGCGAGACGGTGTTTGGTGAGCTGCTCAAGGACTTGGGCGCTGAGGGATATGAAACGGAAGCGACGAAGCTCAAAGGAGACATGCAACAGCGCGCAGAACTTTGGGCCAGTCAGGATGATCCTTTCGGCAGCGAGCAGGCCTGGGACTCTACTGGACAGGAGGGAGTTTACTACTGGGCCAAGTAAGTTCTCCGTTGGCTTCAGCATTTTCTCATATTGGATGAGTTGCTAATTACCCCTCAGCTACTTTGGCGATACAGAGCTCGCTAAGAGTGCAGTCAGTTCCATCATGGGGTACATGCCTACTGTGGCACACTGGGGCTGGAATGGAAACGGTACGCAAAATGTTGAGACACAATACAGTAAATTTAGCTGACAAGTTTTAGGGAGGAGATACTGGGACTTCATGTATGATGACCGTCCATGTTTAAATGCTATCTTGCTTACAAATTTCACAGTTACGGAGCCAAGCTCCAACGCATTGAACGCCAAATCCACCACTACGGCTCTGGTCTCAACTCGCTGCCTCTCCTCTCGCAATTCCGCAACGAGCCCTCGAACTTTTACCTCCTGAGAGTCGGCTACGGCGGCAACCAAGGTCCGCTCACCAACATCGACGAGGAAGGCTTTGCCTCCGCCGCATTCCACTCCTACCCCGACACCCTGAAATGGGACGACTACAGCGGTGACTACGGTCCCAACTTCCTCGGCCATGCTCTCGGTGCCGCAACTTACATTGTCCAGCACGATGTGTACGGCTGGCTCTCGTTTGGTGGCAACGTCATCAGCAGTGACGACGGCACAGTGACGGTCAAGCCACTGGACTCGGCCCGCAGGAGGGTCTTTGTCGCGCCGGTCGGCTTGTACGTCTCTATTGATGCGGGTGTCATCGACACGGTCACATATGCCACGGCGTCGAACAAGGTCACGGTCAGTGTGGCACAGGGTGACGTCGCGGCAGAATCGGCGCTGGTGAAGTTTGAGCAGACGGCGGATGGTGTTGGATCTATCAACTTTACGACGACAGGGCTGGAGCAGCAGAGGGGCGGATGGGTGTTGCCGTTGGGAAGCGAGTCGGCGAAGGTGGAGTTTGCGCCGGCTTGAGCCTTGTGCACAGCGGTAAATCGGACCTTGGTTCAATAAACTTTCCCGAAGTTTGGCTTTTGTATACTTCTCTGATTATGTACCTGTATGTATTCGAGTCATCAGTCTATTTGTATCTTCTTGGCACAGTCATACTGGCAATCAGTTAAAAAACAACCTTGAGGAGAAAGTGCCCACTCAGGCTAATCTGATAAGCTTACATCTAATGCAACTGGTTTTTGGATTCATCCTGCTCGCTTGCCTTGGGGGTGGTGGGTTGCCTTTGTAATCGATCCGGACTCAATATTTGAAAAGAAGCTCTTAGTGAAGATTTCCAAAGTGGAAAGCTTGGGACAAGCGCAAGGAACAGATATCGAAACAGCAAAGAACGGAACAAGTGACAGTATGCTGACCTGTTCCAAATTCGACAGATAGAAATCTGCCTGCGGCATATTCTCGAATAATGGCAAAAAAAAAAAGGGCATGCTAGAAAAGATCTTTGAAGTGTGCGAACACCTCCAGAAGGAAAGCGAACTCGATTAGCCGTTGCATCTTGGGAAGAACGTCATACATATTCTCCGCGACCAAGACCAAATGTCAAAAGGACTCCAGATGCTGGAAAGGTCAATCGATATTTCGGTGAGAAGCGTTTGGATAGCAAAGGCCAAGAAAGAATGTACGACCTTGGGCAGAGCAGAACATCCGTCCACCGATGATGATGATGACGCGTGACGCGGCGAGACGCGCCCGGGCGCGCACACGCGCAACCGAGCTTGATCCGATCCGCGTTAGTTCACGACGGCTACCTAGGTCCCTCTGCAACCGCCATCCTCCACGCCCCTGTTTCCACGGTGCTGACAGCCTGTCGCGCATTCTCTCGGCCTTGGCGTCATGACGCCAACGCCGCGCTCATTGTCCTCAATTGCGTCGCATTCGTTCAACTACAGCTTAGCATGCTCCTCCAAGACATTGGCTAACAGCCGAATCGCCATCACTCGACTTGCGCCCTCTGCCTTCTCCCGAAGACGAATCCATACCTGTACCGGTCTTCTACACCCGCCGTCTCGTAATGCGCACGGATCGAACCATCTCACACCACGATTCCCGTCCACCACGACCATCAATCTTGTCGGCCCGGCACAGCTCTTGGTTCGCCATAAACACACTGGGAAGGGCAACAAAAAGCGAGGAAGGCCGAAAAGGAAATCATTGCTGGATGTTTTTCCAGACACATTCGAACAGCAGGCGGTAGAGCGAAAGCGAGGCAGGCCAAAGAAGAAAACACTGGCGGACGCTTTGCAAATTACACACGAACCACAAGAAGTATACGATGTGGATTCGCAGGAACAAGAAAAGAGTTTGTTGGAAGAGAGTCTTCTCCGCGAGCTCCGCGAGAAACAGCAAGCAAACGTTGCGGACTCGCAGGAACCAGATAAAAGCCCGTCGGGAGAGACTCTCAGCGAGGAACAGCAGGATGTACTAAGGCTCATAGTGGATCGAGGGGAAAGTGTTTTCTTCACGGGCCCGGCTGGTACTGGTAAATCTTTTCTTCTCAGGGAAGTTATATCAAAACTGCACGCGAAGTATTTCGAAGAGTACGAGCGGCGTGGCATAAAGCATGTTGTGCAGACGGATTTTCTGGATAACATTATCGGGATAACCGCATCAACTGGAATTGCCGCCTTGCACATAAACGGCAGGACTCTACACTCATGGGCTGGCATTGGTCCCGGAGATGCGCCTCTGGAGACCATCGTCCAGAGAATTCTCCGATCGTTCAGGGCCTCTAGACGCTGGAGGATGACTCGGGTATTGATTATCGACGAAGTGTCTATGATTGATGGCGATCTTTTCGACCAGCTGGATCTAATTGCGCGAATAATACGCCAGAATCACCTCCCATTCGGTGGCATCCAACTAGTCATCTCTGGCGATTTTTTTCAACTACCACCCGTGTCATCGGAAAAAACTGCAAAGTTTTGTTTCGAGGCCGCTACATGGCCAAAAGCTGTGAAAACCAAAATCGGATTGACCCACATCTACAGACAGAGGGAAACAGCCTTTACGAAGATGTTGAACGAGACAAGAGATGGTCGGCTTTCGCAAAACTCGATTGAGGCATTCAAAAGTTTGGATAGGCCTTTGAAAAGGGACAGTCTTGATCCCACAAAGCTGTTTCCTTTGCGCTCCGAAGTTAACAGAGAAAACACATTAAAGATGGATCAACTTACTGGAGAAATTTACACATATAGTGCAAAAGATGACGGCTCATGCGAGGACGAGACTATACGCTCCAGGCTTCTGTCAAACTGTCCAGCACCAAAGACTCTTGATCTGAAAAGAGGTGCTCAAGTCATGTTAATCAAAAACACCGGTGACAATCTTGCCAATGGTTCATTAGGAAAAGTTATTGGCTTCATGAGCTTGAGGGAATTTTGGCATAGCGACGAAAAAGACATACTGGAATTCCTTAAAACAATGCCGAGCGGAGAGACACCAGAAAAGAAAGAAACGTCAAGCGAGGACGAAAAGATGACGGCCGTAACGGTAGACAAGAATTTGCTGACTCCGTCAAAAGAAAAATGGCTTTTATCGAAGTTGATCGAAGAGTTTGGCTCAGAGCCTTTCCCCCTAGTAGTGTTCTCAACCAAACACGGCCAATATATCCACAGGACCATCAGGCTATGCCACCGGGTCGAATGGGATGTCGAAAAGCATCGTAAAAAGCAAACCGGCGATGAAAATCAGAAAAAAAGCAAATACGTGTTTATTGACAAGAACTACGTGGTGGAAAAGCTGGCAGTGCGCTCGCAGGTCCCGCTTATCCTTGCCTGGGCACTCACCATTCACAAGTCCCAGGGCCAGACCATGGACTTTTTACAAGTGGACCTACACCGTGTTTTCGAGAAGGGGCAGGCGTATGTCGCATTGTCTCGTGCGACGGACATGGACGGCTTGCAGGTGCTCAACTTCCATTCAATGAAAGTAGTCGCACATGAGAAAGTCAGGGCTTTCTATGCGAGCTTGGCGAACACGAACTCCATTGACCGCCCGGAAGAAGATAGACATATTTGCTAGAGTGTAAAGTAGAATTCCTTTTCGTTCCGCTTTGTGATTTTGAGGTGCTAAGAACATGCTTCCGGGTCGTTAACAAGCCACAGCAATGCAACTCACGAAGTACACTTAAAAATGGTTCTTTTATTCAGCATCGAAATTAGTCCCGCTAGCTTTTGTAGTATGAGCCACGATGCCAACACTCGACTCCAAAGATTGCAAGTCATCCTGTGAGGCGCCAGTTTGACAAACATCTTTCTTTACCGCGCCCATAGCATACCAACCCCGATTGCTCAGACTTCCGAATCGATGCTTATTACTTAGACGGGAAGGACGCGAACAAGACTGGTCGCGAGTCGAAGCGAATTGATCGAATACTCTTGCGAACAGGGGACGAAGCAGTGGCAGGTTAGCGCCAATGAGAGCCAGCTCGGGTTCGATGACGCTCCACATTAGAACATTGGGTATGTTATACGTCACGTCGGAAAGGTCCAACTTGACCAGACTATCCATACGTATTATGCTCACGATACTGACACTGATATAGTTAGTACGGATGGGACATGTCGGCTGGGGGTACTCACAACAAGCCGAGGCAAAAGATCAGGCAAAGACCAAACTTGCGCGATGCCGGCACTTGAAGTGCCCAGATGTATGGTATGGGCAGAACAAGAACCATGACGTCCGTAATCATGTTTAATGCTCCGGCTGCAACGAATGCCGCATTTCGGTCTCCGCATACGCCGCCCGGAAGTGTTTGGTCCCAATTGAAGGCTAGTGGACGGCAAAGAAGGAACCCTTCGATGACGATGCTGAATGCCCAGCCCCACACTATCACCATGACGACCGCGATGATAATTCGGATATGTCCAATCTTGCCGAATATCCGAAGATAAAGGACCATGAGCGAAGTCTTGATCAAACCTAAAGAGATGCCGTATAAAGCCTGGCATGGTATCAGGAGCTAGAATTTGTTAGAGCATCCTAAGATACTGTCTTGATATGCTAACCTTTAGGGTTAATTGTTGTGCAGACGGCGGATGGATATCTCCGAAATGTCTACCGACACCACCGTATGTCGCCACTGCGATAAATGTCAGCCTGAAAGGATAGACATCCCAAGAACGAATCATACTCATAGTAACAAGGGCGACAGATACGCATATAATAGCCTGAATGCTGGTAAGAGATTGTTCAATACAATTTGAGAGAGTCTATACCATTGAGATCGTAACGAGATAATCGTCAAGGGAAAGTTGCACCCCCTTCACATGTCGGCACCAAAACCGGGCGATGAGTGACAAAAAGGCTAACATTCCTATCACCACGTAGGTGACGAACATGTCGCGAGCAGCACGATTCTCGAGGCCATACCAAGTCATGTTGTTTCAGTTACGGAAAATCGTCAACTGGAGAGCCTCACAGTGGAACCGTGGTTTATATATCATTTTCAGTTATCCTCCGACGTAGGATCGCATATAACTTCGCGAAGGGGCTGGAGCTCTCAGAATCTTCCGTCCGCGGAGGCATATACCCAGAATCTCGCCCCCGGGGAAGGTCTGTTTCTATATCGCCCCTAGGCGCTTACTTCCCGTTTGCGATTTTCGCCCCATATCTCTACTATTGGGGGTGCAGATTCGGGATGAGATAAATCCGAACATACAGATTGCCGGCGTAGCCGGCAGATGGTGAGGATTTACAACACAAACCGCCCCCATGCGGTGTTCAAAATAGCCTGGCCCGCTTAGCCCACCGGGCCAGACGCCGCGTCCGTAACCCCACGCTAACCTTACACTAAAACGGGCTGCGCCTGGCCCAGTTAACAGTCTAGCAACGCACAGGTAAGACCACGAAGGCTTAGCATGGTGTTGAACGAATACAACAACCAAACTCTGTTAAGACGCCGACTTATTACCTAAATATGCTTACCTCGCCACCTATCGCCACCACTAACACGTTCCCAGCCATCCTACTCCCCTTAATATTAAAGCTTAGCATGAAGAGGCTATTAGTAGCCCTTTCGGTAGCCCCCGACAAAGCAGGCTGCGGCTACAGCAGACCGGACTCCCGCGGGCCAAATTTTCGGCCAGGCAACTTCGAACACTGCCCCCATGGAATGATCTATGAGAGGGTGGGGGCCAAAATCATCGTGACAGCATTCTTGGCCCCCAAATTTACCGCGCGGGATGCTATCCGGCACTTCTCGGTTTCCAGACCAGGCAGGAGCAACTTTATGATCAGATCTTAGATTGGCCCCGGCGCAGCAGCTCGGGACGCCGTATAAAAGTATATCAGTAAGGCGCCGGCTCTGTATTCCCACCATATCACTTCAAACTGTGAAACATGTCTTCTGTTAACACTTCTTCGACCGATTCTCTTGACGAGTCATATGACTATGTTATCGTAGGTGGAGGCACCTCGGGGCTCGTCGTAGCCTCAAGGCTTACAGAAGATCCTCGCGTGCGCGTTGTTGTTTTCGAGGCGGGAGCAAATCGCTTGGACGATCAAAGAATTACTATACCCGGCCTTGCTCCTTCAATATACAACGACCCGGATTTTGATTGGGGTTTTCTGAGTGTGCCGCAGGTAATGTTGTCCACCGGATTCAGGATCATGAACTAACTAATACTAGGAAAGCCTTGATGGCAGAGTCATTGGACATTCCATGGGCCGCACGCTTGGCGGATCCTCTGCTATCAACCTGGGGATGCTCGTTTATCCAGGCAAAGTAACCTTTGATGCATGGGAAAAGCTGGGAAACCCAGGCTGGGATTGGGACTCCTTTGCGCCGTATCTTCGGAAATTCCACACCTATCACGCGCCCTCCGACAAAGTTAAGACTCAACTTGGAATCGAAGTCAAAGAGCAACTTCAAGGCGGAGATGGTCCAATTCATGCCACTTTTGGTACGGATTACATGGCGTACCACGAGGCTTGGACCCCCGCATTCAAAGCCCACAATTACGAGTTGACTGGAGATCCCATCGAAGGACTCGCCATAGGACCCTTCGCTGCTGGCGGTACTATCGATCCTGCCACCAAGACGCGCAGTCACGCCGGTTCTGCTTATTACAACGAAGAAGTAGCCAAGCGCCCAAATCTCCGCGTTGTCACCGAAGCTCTTGTTGAAAAGGTAGTTATGGAAGGGGAAAGTGCAACCGAAGTTCTCATAACCGGCAAAGATGGTGTACAGCGCAAAGTCAAAGCTAGTAGAGAAATCATTCTGGCTGCTGGCGCTATGAAGTCCCCTCAGATTCTTGAGCTTTCGGGTATTGGGAATCCGGAAATATTGGAGCCCAAAAGAATAAAGGTCCTCATTGAGAACAGCGGTGTTGGAGAAAACTACCAAGACCATGCACTGTGCCCTCTGAGCTGGGAAGTTGCCGATGGACAACCCTCTGGTGACATGGTGCGGATCCCCGAAGTCGCTGCTGCTGCTATGGAAGCGTATCAGACTGCAAAGGCTGGGCCATTAGGTCAGGTGTCATTCCTTTCTGCGTATATGCCGGTGGTGGACATGTCGGAAGAAGACACTCGACAGCTTCTCAAGCAATACTTGCCGAAAAGTAGCAGAAGGGAAGAGCTTCTCAAGGAAATGCTGCTCATGCCAAGGGAAGCTTCCGGCCAGTACAGCTTTGTGCCACTCCAGTTGGCGTCTAAGGCCGGCCCGCTTGCGAAAGGAATCTTTGGCATGCCAGAGGACGGGAACTACGTGAGCATAATCGTCGTGCTCAACCATCCCTTCTCCCGTGGATCTGTTCATATCAACTCGACAAACCCAACGGACCTGCCAACCGTCGACTCCGGCTACTACAGAAATGGAATCGATATGGAAATCACTGCTCGGCACCTGCTGTGGGTCGAGAAGCTGATGGCCACGGACCCGATGGCGCCGCTATTGAAAAAGGGCGGGCGTTGCATTCACAATGACAAGCCGGTTGCTGATTTAGAGGAAGCGAAGAGGGTTGCAAAGGAGACTGTTATCTCCAACTACCACAGCTGTGGAACATGCGCGATGATGCCAAAGGAAGAGGGTGGAGTTGTCAACGAGAAACTGATTGTCCATGGGACACGAAATTTGCGGATTGTGGATGCGAGCGTCTTCCCGTTGATACCGAGGGGAAACATTCAGTCCAGCGTCTATGCCGTCGCCGAGAAAGCTGCCGACATGATAAGAAAAGACAATGCTTGATGAAGAGTAGAAGTAAGCGTTTTGTTCAAAGAGATAGCTAGGCGCTGAGTAATCAAAGTTCACGAGGATCACCACGTGATACTGCACAGACCATCACATCACAAACGCTTGCCTTCACGTCGTCGCAGCGGCACCTCACCCAACTGCCAAACAACAGCATGGTGAAAAAGCGCTTGGCAAACTCGCTAAGCTTTCATGTTAAAAAACTTCGGTTCGACGCACTTGAATGGGATACGCCTCTGAAGCCTTTGCGGCTTGCTCATGAGCAGATTTGTTCATTCAACGTCGGTAAAGATGGCGAATCGCTCTATGTTCCAGGTAAGTCTCTAGGGAGATCTAGTTTGAAAGCCAGCTAAAGGTATCAGGAACACCCCCAAACTGGGCCAGGAAGCCGCTACCGCGGAATACTCCTTTGCTCCCGCGTGTACGGCATGTGACCTCGCGGGATCCGCTGTTGAGAGAATGTCATTTCACGCCGATGCTCACTGCACTTGCAATAACCAATCCGGCATATAATCTCAGCGACGTGTTCTTTATAACCACGAGTGCACTCTTACAGAAGTTGATGGAATTGATTCAGTCTAACCAATACCGCACCATACCTGAGGCTTTCAAAGTTAATGTCTCGATGGTGGGAAATACCGCATTGATGAGCTTGGATGTCGAAAAACCCTGGGAACGCACGGCAATGCAGGAAGAATTCACTGAACCAAAGCCAGGATGGGAAGACAGTTACGTACACTGCCGAGCGATACGCTACAAATTACACGGGCTTGATGTTATTGTTGAGCACCCGGTCGACGCGGACACTAGCCAGTATCGTTCGCCCACACGTTCGCTCGTACGGCAAAGGCTGGAGAAGCCATACCTACCCCAAATGCTTTTTCCCCCGAAGGATTTTAAAGGACGACCCAAAAAGACTGCACCATCAGGAAGAGTAGTTCCGCCAGCAAAGCCAGGAGAAGATACGCGCCTTGGGGATTCAAATGTACACTTTTGCGGGTTCGGCACCCGCCCAGACCGGTTCGGGTCTATTCGACCGTTGAGTTCACAGCACGAGCAGCAGAATTGGTCCCCTGAGACGTTTTACAAAGAAAAATTGAGACGAGCGGACCTCTGGTTTAACCGCTCACCCATGTCCTTAAACTATGCGCAGGATCCCCACAGGGAGACGGTTGATGGGATCCCAACTGACATGCACAGAGTGTATGGGCATAGAATTTTTACGATGGATCATCGGCATAAGGAGTTTGCAAAATTCTCAGCGAAGGCAATCCTCGAGACAGAGTTACTTCTTTTTGGGTTAAGGAAGATGGCTAAGAAATCGCGTACTGGCAGCTGCCAAGTTTATTGGAGTCCTGATGAGGAAACTCTTCTGCAACGCCAACCGATCAACCTATTCAGTCCAATTCAAACTGTACCGGTTGGATTAAGGCAGCAATTCTGGCCGGGATCGGATGAGGATGTAAAGCGGGTAGAAGAAAGAAGAGCTAAAGTTTTACGCAAGATGGGAGTTAAGCCCAATGTGTAAGAGTAGATTCTACGAAAATCAGATGTTTACGCAAGAAAAATGCTTTTTATAGCTAAATCAACTGTAGTTCTCAACAAGACATTTGTCAGGCCACAAAGCCTTGGGTAGATAGCAGCCTCCATAGTCATGGCATTCTCGCCCGGGTTACATGGTATTTACGTGCGACCCAGGCCTACGAATCCTCTTCAAGGATTCGTCTCTTAGTAATCTCAGCCTATTGTTCTGCTCCTTGCCCCCTGTTTACACTCGTGCCTCGTATAGAGCTATCCGAAAAGGGCTCTACATTACGGTAAGGGCGTAATTTTCTCGTCATAAACCTCTGCAACCCCGGACGGGAAAGTGCAGCTAGTGGTGCCCCTTAGATCGGTTTGACACTCGGTGTAGTTTGTTTCCACGAAGCGTGCGAATCTCTGGTGAAATGTCCTGAGGAATAGTCAGTAATTACGACCGCAAGAGTAAACCTTAGTAAGAGCCTTACTGAGTGCTTGAGTCGGTGAAGTTATGCCGTATCTCAAAAGTGAAGTTTTCATGTGTCCAGTTGACAACGTACCAGTCCCAGCTAGTCGAATCGGCACAAGGTATCTGGATCCGATACTGTTAGTAGGTATCGTCTGTATATTCGGAGCAAGTGCAGTTTATACATAATCCGTCGGCCAGTTCAACAATGTGTCAGAAAACGACACATGGCACCATGCCCCAGTTTCATTGCTGAGGGGGTTGTTGTTTTCCCAGACCTGGAATTCCTGGTTGTTGATATTCTGACGTCGCCAGTAGTAGACATCCGTGAAGTTGAATTCGGCAGACAGGACACTGCCAGGGAGCAGGGCAAGCGTGCTGAGAATGGTGGTAAGGAACATCGTTGAATTGATGGATTGTAGACAATTCGATGAATAAATGCGCCGAAGAGCTTGCCATATTTATATTTAGACCTCTTCTCCGCGCTAAGCAGCACCTCGCATATACGAGAAGTTACCCTTAAACGAGAAGTAACCTAGTATACAGCTTAGTTCGTATATGTATTAGGCTGCTTACGGGTGCTGACAGCAGGTAGATCGGTGTGACCTCGCTTGGATAAAAGTAATCCGTCGTAGCAGCAGCAGCAGCAGCAGTAGTAGCGAACGCAGCAAAAATTGCAGCAATTACGGCTAGAGAGTGTGCTGCGCGGATGGCGGGAACCGTAGTGATCGGGGGCGCGGGAACGGAGCCGGGCGCGAGCTCGTTTGCAGTAGAAAGAAGCTGGCCAGCTTGCTGGCGTTATCTAAGCCGATGATGCCCTGGCGGACGGTCCCGTCGCCGAACACGGTACCGGGCCTCACGGTAAGGTACTTGACGGGCTTGGGCTTATGCTTCTGTTCGCGGCCGGAGAAACGGGCGAAAGCGCGGTAGTGGCGGCGGTGATTACATCCATCTGTGGCATCTCCCGTTAGCTATGTGCCTTGGAGGGCAGCTCCATTAGATAAAGCACGTAGGCTCATAGCCGAGTTCATCGTGGCGACTCCTCGCAGCTTACGAATGCGCTAGGACCGTCCTGTCGTTCCTCTTAGTGTAACTTGTAGTCTTTTGGCTGATTTTTGCCCTGATCATGTGGCACTGTAGAAGGCGCTCAGGCAATGTTTGGAGCTATTTAGGGTACGATACATGCTTTTACGTCTTAGAAAGTCTCTATATACAGCTAGGTAGACACATTTGCGAGTCTTTATCTGGAGTGGTAGCACTCGTAGCGAACCGTCGTTCGCAGCTTGACTGTCAAGCAGGCAAAGGTTGTCAGTCATTCGATCCGCTGAAATGCTGAGACCATGGGATGTTGGCGCGACACACCGTCCGGGTTGCACTGGTAGACTTAAGTTTCGGATAGGGAGCAGGTCGTTGGCTATCTTCTTGGCTACAAGTGGTCGGCTCTCTTCATCGACTGAGGTGGATCAAAGACGTATTTACGCCAGGTAAGTTTGGTGCAATTCGCCAATCGCGGGTCGAGGCCAGTAAACAGGGCAATATCTGTAGGGAGAACGAGATGGGGCAAGTAGTCCTCGTCGTAAATGGTAGCGCAACTGTCCTTGCGTAGGCCATGCCAGTCAGAAGGCCAGCAATCAACCATCCCGGTGTATGCGGAGGCGGGCACAGGGTAGTTAAAATCGGTTATGGTTACTGGAAGGGTAGTCATTCTGGGTGAATTGCTGAAGTGGATACTGGAAAGAGAGTTAGGCGGCACGCCGATGATGGTTTTGGTATACTGTCCAAGGCATAGGTTGGCGTAGAGAGACTCGAAAGAAAGGTAAACAGTAGGCGAGGTAAGGGTGAAGCCCTCGAAGACAGTAGTAACGGGTTCGACCGGAGTAGGGGGTGGAGACGTAATATGGTGAGTGTCGGTGGTGTGAGTGTCGGTGGTGCAGAGAGCTGAAGGGTCTTTTGATTCGTCCCAGTAGAGTAACCGGACATGGCCGGCATCGAGGCGGCAGCTCAGGCGACCGGCGGGAATCAGACAATCCGAAGTATCCAAGACACAATTAGGGGCTCGTTGTGCTTCCTTGGTGGGACTTCGCGTTTTCTCTTCTTCGTTATATGATGACACCAATAGGTCGCACCCGTGGTAGTTATACTGGCATGTTGGTGTAGGGCCCGGATAGGAGGGAGCGCTAGTAAATAGTATAGACTCTGTCTGTGGGACATAGGCTAAGCCTGAACCTGGTGCTCGCGGCCAGCCGTCGCAGAGTGTAGAGGCGTGTCTGCTAGTATTTCCCACCCATATCGATGTTAGCGCCGTGTAGGTGCTTTCAAAGATCCTTTGATTCGCTGAGAACCAGCTGTCATATCTTGTGACGTAGTTAGATTTCTCCGCATAACAGCTGAGGACAGAGGCTATGTCGGTAGAGTCTTTGCCCGTCCAGGTATTCGTAATGGATGGGGTGATGCTAGATGTGCTCGGCGTAACAGTGGAGGGAGTGGTGATGGTGGTCGAATTAGTCCGAGTTACGACAATAGAAGTGAGGCGAGTCTTGGTTAAGGTTACTGTCGTTGTGCTGTCCAACGATTCGGAAGAAACCTCTGTGGAGTTTGACGATAGATAGCCGGCTGAGAGATGAAAGCAGAAAGCAAGAAGCAGCCAAGAGAGCTTCATTTTCGCACGTTTGTACATGGAGTATTCGTTGTATTGGGCTAGCCGGCTTATAAGGCCATCAGCAGCGGGCCAGCGGCTGCCGCCGGAGCATTAGCATGATTTTGACTTGCCCAAAAGCGGGCGACACCGTAGTTAAGCGACATAATACATGTAAAACCTTAACTGCGGGGTGGTCAGCAGCTAAAAGAACTTGGTACCTAGCGTGCTGCACGATTGAGTTTTCCAGGGGAATCCACTGTTGGCTGGGGCTGAGCTCGCGGTCTAACGCACCAACGACTTTTTTGGGGGCGAAAATTTGGTTTGAATGACTACTGAGGTTGGAGGGAGAAAAAAAGCGCTGCAGAGGAAGACGAAGCGTCGGAAGGCTGCACCACAGCACGCAGTGGAGGGGTGAACGGGCGGTACCGGTCGTACGGCCCGCTGAAGCCAGACAGGATGGCGCGCTGGGCAGTTAGTTTTGCATCCCCTGCATACAGCCCCCACGCCACCCCTCCCTTTGCCCTCTTATTCTCGTCGGCCGATCCAATAGGCGCCTCTGAGCTCTCGCAGTAGCCCAAAGTGCCCGGATAATCATTTAAAGATTCCGTGACGCCTGAGAGCGACGTGCGAAGAAAAAAAAAAAAAAAAAAAAAAAAAAAAAAAAAAAAAAAAAAAAAAAAAAAAAAAAAAAACTAATGGCATTTTTTCTTGACAGAGTGAACGGTCATTCATGCGAGTGGTCGTGTGATATGGCGTGTGAGAGCGGTGTGCATTGGATGGGGGTAAGCATGCAGTTCGTATTGCTCTGTCCATGCGGATCGAGGTAGGTGAACGTGGGATGGGCGTGTTAGGCCCCAGACCTGCGGCGGCAACAGCAGCCCGACCAACGCCACCACCACCGCCACTCACCATCCAAACTACGGCTTCCTAGCCAAAAACTTTGGCGCCTCCGCCATCTCTGTACTCCGCCAGCTGCACGCCCGTTTTGTAAGTCCCAGCTCTTCCCAACCCGCATCCGGCAGCAGTTCCTGCATCGTTGAAGAGCTACGTGCCGCAGGGCAGAGTAGAGAGAAAGAACACCAAACCGAAAGTAAGGACAGCGTTTCCCAACGATGCGAACGTCTTTATATGCGTATGGTTGCGTTGTGCAGTGCACTCGAGTGACGCTGGGTACGGGAGGTCGGTCTGCGGAAAAGCGTTCCGGTGCGGGAGATCTATTTAGTCTTTTCCTGTCCCCATGGAATCGAGCGGGAGGTTATAATTAAAGCCTAGAAACGCAGAATAGACACCTTCTAGAATGGAAATAGGTTATAGGGAAGAGAGGTGTTCCGGAGGCTTGCCGTCCGTCCCCACGCGTTCCTGCGTCGGTCGCACGCTCTCGGCAATAAAGGCAACGTTTCTTCTTGGGAGGTACATCATGTAGTACGTCAGGCTGCGTTTAGTACTTAGTTTACCGTAGCGGAACTTTACGGATGGCGCTCCGATAGGAGTATAGGGAAAGCGTACAGCGCCTCGCGTAGCACCGCTACTTCCCACTACCGCCTACACGCCTTCAGCGCTCTATTCGGTGATGATTTCCGCTGTCCTTTGACAAAGCTTCTCCGGGCAGCTGCGGCGTGCGGGGGTTCTGATTGGCTGCTGCAACCCGGGCACATGGAAGAGAAGCGGTTGACTTCTGGTCGATACTAACAGCACATATACCAGGAAAAGGTTTATACGAGAAGCAGCGAAACAGATAAAAAGGCGGTCTTTCCAACATAGTCCTGCGGGTAGCGTGGGCTGTATGATAGAGCACGTCTACCCGGCTTCGTAAGCTGACGTTTATTATTAGCCTCGGTGCCTATGATAGTGGCGCTGGGAGGCGTTTAGCGCATCGTATAATATGGTTCCTACTGCAGCCACTTATTGCCTGTTTTCTTAGGATTTATGTGGTGACCTATCCGATCATCACCTGAAACGCAAGAATGACGAGGGTTAGTTTGCCAGACGCAAGCCACAGGCAATGAAACCTGCTAATTGCAGCAAACAACGTCACAGTCGAGTTGATTGGTCTCTAAACGTTTAGGCCGCAACGATAGCCCAACTCGCAGCCCAATTAATAATTGGCCTCCGACCCCAGATCTTTGTTGCAGACGACGTAGCAATTACTTCAAATCCGCTACTGGAAAACAGTTCCACAACTCCTCAAAATGGAAGCCGGTCTTATCCGTCACCGAGATGAGACAGTAACCGAGGGGCATCGCAATGATACAGAAAGCCTTGCCCAGGCAGACCAGAGCTCTGCACGCCAGAGCCTTCTTTCTCTCAGCTCAGAAGATGATACCACTGCGCACGATGACCAAATCTTGGGACAAGAACAAGGACAGTCCGCTTCTTCTAGCTCTTTCGATAGAAGAGTTCCTCACAAAGCCTCGGTGGGAAGCTTTGGTTTCCTCAACTTCATCCGGACGCAGTGGCTTTACGAGATCTTGGCCAGTAGCACTGCTATTTTGGCTCTAGTCGCAATTATCGTCACTCTTGGAACCTACGACGGCCGAACTCTCCCGAAATGGCCGTACCGAATCTCCGTAAACGCTCTCGTATCAGTTTTTGGCGTTATACTTAAAGGCTTGATGTTGGTTCCTATTGCTGAAGGTTAGCTTCCAGATCTATACCATCGTCCAAGATGGCTGCTTGATAGTTAAAATACTAAGATAGTATATTTACTAATAAGTATTGTTATAGGTCTTAGCCAGCTGAAATGGCTTTGGTATAGTGATCCCCGTCCACTTAATCATTTTTCTAAATTCGACGAGGCAAGTCGTGGTATTTGGGGCTCAGTTAAGCTATTCCTTATGCTTCGTGGAAAGCATATACCCTCCCTTGGAGCAGCTATTACAGTTCTTGCCATGGCAAGCGACCCCTTTATTCAGCAAATTATCCGGTATCATTCATGCAAAACGACCGTTAGCGACGAAAAAGCGTATATTTTACGCACTAGGAACTACACCGGAGGCGGCCAGACCTTTAAGCAAGGGGTTTCCACTTTAGACGGTGGGATGCAGGCAGCTTTACACCAAGGAGTCCTGAAATCATACTCTAGAATTGACCCCACATGCGCTACAGGGAATTGTTCCATTTCCAACTACAGATCTGTTGGCATGTGCCACAGTTGTCGTGGAGTTAGCGACAAGATTAAACAGACTGGTCCGACTGGGTCCAATTGGACTTTAAATTCTGGGATCAGCCTTGCCCCCCCCCGGAGCAGAGGGCACAGTCTTACTAATGCACACGAACAATAGCAACTGGTTTACAGAAAGCTATTACTCCAACAATATCCAAGGGCTCTCTCGAACACAAATTCTGAGTCTTACTTTCAAGGAAGACGACAACACTTTCAACACATCATGGGTACAGAAGTTCAATATCATGGCGGTCGAATGCGACCTCAGCCCTTGCATATACACCTACAAAGCCGAAGTCAACGAAGGTGTAGCAACTGAAACGCTATTGCAAACCATTGAAATGACCCAGTCCAACGAAAGCTCTTACCCAGAGAACACAACCGACGCATTCGTCGCCATCCCGATGCCATGTCTCCTCAACGGCAACTATTACGACGCCTCCGACTTCCCCACAATGTCCAACAAGACCTACAATCGCCTGCTCCCAGACAAGAATAAGAACAACAACAGCAACAACAGCAACAGCAACACCGACGGAAACGGCGCCACAGGCATCTTCGTCCCTCCAGAGTGCGTCTTCAGCTTCAGCGCCATCGCAAATCTCGGGGCATATCTCCCCACATTCCTCGCGGGTCGCGTCGGCCTGTTCGAAGCGCTACCGGTCAATTCGGAGCCGAGCTGGATGGCGCAGGTGTACGCCGACGGGAACGCGACGCTGGCCAGTATTAATGAAACGTGGGCTTCGCTCGCCGAGAGCATAACAATGCAAATGCGTCGCGATGGCGTGGCGGGCAGCAGCAGCGCGCCCGCAGCAGGAGATGTGTGGAAGACGGAGACGTGCGTGGGGGTGCAGTGGGTGTTTTTGGCATATCCGGCCGCGCTACTGGGGCTAAGTGTGGGCTTTTTGGCGGGGACGATCTGGAAGAGTGCGGTACTAGGGAAGAGATGGATAGGGGCAGAGGCGGGGAGGACGTCGGCGATGGCGAGGGTGATGGAGAGAGAGGAGGGATGGGGGGGGATTAACTGTTGGAAAGGGTCGTCGCTAGCGGTGTTGTTTCACGGGATAAGCGAAGGGCTAAGGGATGAATATCGCAGGGTTGAGCGGGTGGGAGAGATGGAGAAGGTTGCGGGGGAGGTACGTGTACAGGTTAGGGATGAGGGAGGTGGGTATGAGTTTATTAAAACGTAAGGCTCTATAGTTCTAGGCCCTAAGTCTTTACGCTCGGATATTTATATACTTACGATTAATTAATCAATTCGTTTTACGTCTATATATAGTTATAAACTATAATAGACGGCCCGTGTAACGAGGCCTCTTTAGCCTAGGCGTTAGAATTACCTAGCGAGTGAATAGGTTCGAAGGATTTACCTTAATTAATTAATTAATTCGTTTAACGTCTATATGTAGTCTGATGTTATAGACCGCAAAGGAAATCAACCCGCAGGGTCGGGAAGACCCTATAGGAAGAAGGCCCACACGGGCCTGGAGACCACAAGGGCTTAGTAACCACAAGGGCCCGCGTCCCGCAAGGCACCAGCAGACACGTGCTAGACAAAGCCGTAAGGGAACTAAGACCACAACCCCAGAAAGCCCGCACGGGAATACACCCCGTAGGGACTTAGTCGACCAAGGAAACAACAAAGCCCACAAGGGATTACTGTCCACAAGGGCGAAAGCAGCAAGCCAACAGCAAACCTACAGAGCGATCAAGGGCAAGGAACTTATCGCGCCCGCTTTGCGAGATAGAAGATATCTATTAGGTTGTAGAAAAGCGGTCGTTAGAAAAGTGGCATAGAGGTCACGTGACGGACCCACACTGGATCAACCCCCTCGATTGATTGATTGATTGATTGATTCGTTTTACGTCTATATGCAGTTGGAAACTATGACGGACGGTCCGTTTAGGAC